AGCCAGGACTGGTGGGTGGCGAGGGTGTGGGAAGGTCATTCATCCATCAAGTGTTTATTGAGGCTCCGGTGTCCCAGGCTCTGTGCTGGGCTCTGAGCAGACAGAGGACACTCACACTGACCTGGGAATCAGATGCAGAAAATTATAATATGGGCAGCTTACTTCTGCGGTAGCACTAGGGACAGAGCTGGTGGGAGGAAGGGACAGCCTAGTTTGGGGCTCGAGGAAAAAGGCCCTGGGGTTGAGTTTTAATGAAGAGTTTTCTTTCCAGACAGTAATCCTCAGCAGGCATAGCCCGGCTGGGCCTGGGAAAGGTGGACAGCTCCTTGGAATTGAGTTATCACAACTTGGCATCCACGGTGTTTACGCCGTGCCCAACGTCGGGGCACACCAGGCACACCGGGGATGCCCTCGTCTCCCCGGCTCCTCTGCCCAGGCGTGCAGCAGCCATGGTATTTGGCCTCGTGTCAGAGCTCCGAGTTCCCATGTGAATCATCGCCAGCATGTTCTGAGAGGAGCTGGTCTGACCCCTGCCAACAAGCCTTCTCTCCTGTCTTGATAACATCTGCACCAAATTTTCTCCCTTTATACAATCAGGCCCATCGGTATTTACTTTGACTTTAGCTGATGGTATGAGTGGCGTCTCTGAAATTTCAGGCCTGGAGTAGAGGCTGGGGCCCAGGGTGGTGGGAAGGCTGAGCCCTACCGGATGCTATTTCAGGTCCAGTGGTGGAGGGTGGGGTCAGCAACACAACACCAGCTACCGTTTGCACAAAACACACACAGCAGCCCTCCAGTGGGTGGGAGGGGACGTCCTGCCCTGTCCTCGGAGCAGTTCTAGGTCAGGCCTGCTGGACAGAGGATGCAGGAGGGCTCCCCCCTTCTCTCCTGCCCTTCCTCACCCCACATCCTCCCGCCCCGTCTCCTTCTCTGGCCCCGGAGTGACAGAACTCGGCAAGCAGGAAAGATGCACTAACTGCAAAGAAATGCAGTGCATTCAAACGTAACCTCAAAGCCAACGTCACAGGCCTTGGGGTTTGGAGTCTTGCTCTGAAATGCCTGTCATGGTCTGGCTATGTCCACGCCGAGCCGGAGATGCCACCTGGAGCTGGGCTGGCGGGAGCGCGTTCTCCCCAGATGGCTCCCACCAGGAGGGAGCCAGGGACTCATTTGCACACCCACTCCTGACGTCTCTGGAGTGAGTTGTATCTCAGCGGTGACTTCATTTCCCCAGATGGGGCTTCCACAAACGCTCTGAAGGTTCCAGCCAGTGAGCCACACTGATTGTGGTGTGGGAGCTTTGATAGGCTTGTTTGCGCTTCCCCTTTGGGACCACGCAGGCCCCAGATGAGTGATAACTGGATGATGGAATATTTGCTCAGGGAAGGGGAATGTATTTTTGTAAGATAAGGTTTGATCTCGGGCAGGAGGGAAGTTTCCGGATGCCTCTGCAGTGAGGAGCAGCGGGGAGCGGGTGCAGACCTCCTTGCCTTGCTGGGGTGCCCTTAGTTACTGAGACGCCCCGGGTGAACTCTGGGGAAGTTGTCTCAGGGCTGCCTGGGAGTAGGGCAGGGTGCTGTGTGGGGGTGTCTGAGTCGCTCTGCCAGAATGCTGCCCTTCTCTGCTGTTTTGTTTTGTTTCGTTTTTAACAGTATTGCAGCTGCTGCTAAGATTTGGTTTGAATAAAGGGCTTTTGCCCCTTATGTCTAGCCAGGTCATTATGTGTCTTCCCTTCTCTCCAAATGGCTGTATCTTCCTTGGGGAAGTCTTCTTCAACATCCCGGTGTCCATTAAGACCTTGCCTGGGACGTAGTAGGCACAGAATGCTGCGTGTTACCTCTGCCCACTGTGAACCAAGGCCACGCTCCCACGCCAGTCAGACAAACTCATCTCTTTTTCTCCGTCTCCTCCTTTCCCCCAAGTATCTTTCTCTCCATCCTTTGATGGGCCACCCCTCTCCTGAAATGTTCTTTCTTCTTTGTATTCCTGGCAAACCGGACTCAGTACAGCACGGTGGGCTCTGGATTGAGACCACCTGGGTTTGGATCCAGCCACTGCCCCTTTTAACCTGTGAAACCATGGGCCAAATACTTAGTTGCTTTGTGCCTCAGTTCTTCTATCTGTGAAATGGAGATAATAATAGTTTCTCTTAGCCCTGGCTGGCGTTTTCAGTGGTTAGAGCATTGGCCTGTGGACCAAAGGGTCATGGGTTTGATTCCTTGTCAAGGGCATGTATCTCGGTTGAAGGTTCAATCCCTAGCCCCCTTTGGGGTTGGGCAGGAGACAACCAATCAATGTGTCTCTCTCACTGCGATGTTTCTCTCTCTCTTTCTCTCTCTCACACCCCCTCCCCCTTCTATTCTATCTAAAATAAAAATCAATGGGAAAATATCCTTGGGTGAGGATTAACAACAATAAAATAATAATAATAGATCCCGTAGATCTGTTGTAAGGATTGAGAATGAAAACACATGAAGCACTTAAACCAGCGTCGGGCACACAGTAAATGCTCAACAAATGTAGACTGTGGTGGTGGTGATGATGATGATAATGGAGGAGGAAGAGGAAGGAGAGGAGGAGATGATAGTGGTAGTGATGATCATTTTTAAAGACCTTCTCTGTGAAGTCTTCTCCAGCTCACCAAGTTGGATTCGTTTTCCCCTCTGGCTCCAAATAGCTAGCCACTCGGGGTGGTTGGTGGTTTCACAAGTCTGAATTCACCTAGACTGAGAGTTCCTAGGGCTGGGTCTCAGCAATGGGAATAGCAACATCTGTACTAGAGTGTGTTAAACTTGATACCATATGCTTTTTTATCATATAATTATTGTACTAAGATATAATTCACATGCTGTAACACCTTTTAAAGTATACCATTCAGTGGTTTCAGTATATTCACAAATGTGAAACCACCACCACTATCTAATTCTAGAATGTTTTATCCCCATGAAAAGAAACCCACCAGCAGCTGTCGTCCCCCCCCCCCCCCCCACCCCCTGCCCCAGCATTCCCTTGCAACAACCCATCTACTTTCTGTTCCCACTGATTTGGCTCTTCTGGACATTTTATATAAATACAGTCTTACAGTAGGTGTCCTTGCGAGTCTGGTTTTTCTCTTCACGTAATGTTTTCAAGGTTCATCTATAGATCAGCACTTCATTCCTTTTTATAGATGAATAATATTCTGTTGTGAGGATATCCCTCATTTCGTTTATGCATCAGTTAATGGACACTTGGGTGGTTTTGGGCGGTTGTGACTAATGTTGCTATGAACATTGGTGTATAAGTTTTTGTGTGGACACAAGTTTTCATTTCTCTTTGGTATAACCTAGAAGCAGAGCTGGGGGTCCTATAGCAGCTCTGTGTTTAACTTTCTGAGCAATGGCCACTGTTTCAGAGCCTCTGCACCCTTTTTGTCCCCACCAGCAGTGAGTGAGGGTTCCAGTTTCTCCACATCCGCACCAACACAGGTTTTCCTATTGTCTTCCTTTTTAAAAAAAATTAAATTAAATTAAATTTTATTTTATTTTTAACTAATTAATTTATTTTTGTTACAGATGTTTCTCCCTTTTCCCCCACTGATTCCCTTCTCCGCCCCCCTCCCCGCCCTGTCCCCAGCTTTGTTGTCCATGTCCATTGTTCATGCATACATGCATATAAGTTCTTTTTTTTTCTTTAATCCTCACTTGAGGATATTTTTTCTATTTGTCTTCAGACAGAGCAGGAGGGAAGGAGAGAGAGAGAAACATTGATGTGAGAGAGACACATTGATTGGTTGCCTCCTGCACAACCTCCACCAGGGCCAGGGACAAACCACAACCAAAGTACGTGCCCTTGACCAGAATTGAACCCATGACTCTGGTCCAAGGGCCAACACCCTAACCGCTGGGCCATACCAGCCAGAGCTTTCCTGTCTTCTTGATTAAGCCATCCTCGTGGGTATAAAGGGATATCTCACTGGGGCTTTGATTTGCATTTCCTTGATAACTGATGATGTTGAGCATCTTTTCATGTACTTACCAGCCATTTATATATCTTCTTTAAAGAATGTCTATTCAGCTCTGACTGGTTTGGCTCAGTGGTTAGAGTGTTGGCCTGTGGTCCTGAGAAACCCGGGTTTGGTTCCCGCTAAGGGCATGTACCTTGGTTGCAGTTTGTCCCCAGCCCTGGTTGGGTCGTGTGGGTGGTGATGTGTACCTTTCACGTCGATGTTTCTCTCTCTCTCTCTCCCTCCCACTCTATCTGAACAAAAAATGAAAAAATGTCCTCGGGTGAGAGATAAAAAAAAAAGTATCTATTCAGATCATCCTCCCATTCATTCATTGGGTTATTTATCTCTTTATGGTTGAGTTGTAAAATTCTTTATAATAATAATTTCATATCAGATATATGATTTGCAGATATTTTTTCCCATCTGTGGGTTGTCTTTTCACTTTCTTGATGGTACCCTTTAAAGCATAAAAGTTTCTAATTTTGATTAAGTCCTATTTACCTCTTTCTTCTTTTTGCTTGTGCTTTTGGTATCACAGCTAAGAAATGATTGCCTAATCGAGGTCACAAAGATGCACCATAAGCTTTTTAAAAGCAATCTTATTTTTAATAACCCTATAAGGAAAGGGTAGCAGACCCATTTCACAGATGAGGAAACTAAGAGATCAAACGCCAGAGCTGGGATGTAAGCCCGGTTTAGTCTGCTCTGAACCTCAAGTATATCTGTCTGTCTGTGCCTCCCCCAAGTCCCTTTCCCTCTGCATTCCTCACAGGGCTTGGCACAGTGCCTGGTGCACAATATGCCACAGGTGATGAACACTGGCTGGATGAATGGCACGTCCTAACAGGTGCTCGATTTGCACCTGCTGGTTGATTTGGGTGGATGGGAGTTTGCTGCTTAATGTGGGTTTCTGTCTACAGTGCTAGAATCACTGAATCTCTCTCTCTCTCTCTCTCTCTCTCTCTCTCTCTCTCTCTCTCTCTCTCTCTGTCTCCCTCCCTCACCTCTGCAGTGTCTCATCGTTGGAGGAGGACCATGTGGTTTGCGTACTGCCATTGAACTTGCCTACCTAGGGGCCAAAGTGGTCGTGGTGGAGAAGAGGGACACCTTCTCCCGGAACAACGTGCTGCACCTGTGGCCTTTCACCATCCACGACCTGCGGGGCCTGGGAGCCAAGAAGTTCTACGGGAAGTTCTGTGCCGGCTCCATCGACCACATCAGTGAGTGGAGCCAATGGTGGCAGCCCTGAGGGGAGGGGCTGACCTTGGGACTCATCTCCCTACCTTGAGGAGTCCCTGGAATGTTCCATCTTGAAAGTCCCTGAGGGCTCCACACATCCAAGTGGCAGATATTAGTGAAGAGGCTGCTGTGTGCCTTGCGCCAGGCCTGTGCCGTGCCCTGTGCAGTGCCCTGTGCTAGGCCCTAGTAGGCTGTAAGCACCGTGAGGTCAAGGTCAGTGGCATGTCTTGTTCACCAGAGTCTCTGTAGAGCATAAAAGAGAGCTTGACACAGAGTAGATGCTCAGTAAACTCCTGTTGGGTGAATGAGTGACATATGGAAAACCGGGGCAGAGTCTGAACTCTTGGAGAATTCCCAAGGTCTTGTCAGTAATGAAAGGGTCTTTCATAGAGCAGTCAGACTTGCTAGAGGAGTTCGGAAGAGGGAGCCACACGAGGCCACTAAGTGGGCCAGGACATCGAGGGCCTCAGGCAAAGGAGGGTTACCGGTTCCGTGGAAGCACGACCGCTTTAGGACAGAGGAGTGACCCAGCGGACGGGTCCCATACCAAGTTGTCATGAGCTTTGAAAAGAGAGGGGACATCACAATGGGGGTTCATGCAGAGAAGGAGGGGAAGTAGAGGACATGGACTTCAGCTCCTGGGCCACCCCTGAATGCTTAGGTAGGATGCCGTGAGGGCTGCGGCCCTTCCGCTCAGATGTTACTCACACCTGGGTCCCCGGAGGCCAGAGCTGTGCAGATGGGCGTTAGTGAGCAGCCTCCCTCTGCCCGTCAAGGAAGGAGGTCTTGAGCCATTTTGATGTAACAACCGTGACTCATAAAAGTTGAGGCGGTTAATACTATGGGCAGAGTTCAAAGTCTGAACAGAGTCAGGTCCAAAATCTGTCTTGTCCATTTTTCAGTTTTGTCTCCCATAAATGTGATTAACGCCTGCCCACCAGGATTGCTGAGAAGATTAAACAAAGCCAAGCCTGTGATGTGCTTGTCTCTGTGCCTGGTGCGCTGCAGGTGGTCAGAAGCTTGACACCTGGCGCCCTGCAGTGAGCAGAGCAGCCAGGCCCCAAGCTCCAGAGTTCGGAACACGGGAGGGAGGAGAACCCTGGAGATTACGTTTCTATGAGGACAAGAACGGATGGAAATGGGTATGGGATTCAAGTGGGGATGACTGGAGACAATTAGCCACATAGGGTGTAACTTAGACGCAGGAGAACGAGCCCTAAGCAGCGCCAGTTGGTCCCGCTCTGAGATGAGAACATTCCGTGAGACCATCGGAAAGTAATTTGGATTTGCCCAGAAAGTTGCGCTGTCAGCTTCAGGATATTCCCTACCACCCTACGGAAGAATGTATGTTGGTTACCAATTTAGAACATCAACATTGAGCACGACTTTCTCACCAGACCCTCCCGAGAGGCAGAGCTGGGCACCGGGAGGCCCGCGAGGGCCCCAGGCTGCTGGGCTGCCTTCTCAGCCAGCAGCCTCTCTCCGCTCCCAGGTTGCTCCTGGGTCCCAGGAGTGCAGAAACTCGGGCAGGACCGGGGCACTGAGATTCCAGCTTTCTGAGTGATCGTTGTCCAGGGCAGCCCAGTCCCTGTGAGAAGGGCGGCAGGGAGAATTTGTTGACCACCTACTGGGTGCTGGAAACATACAGCCTAGGACCTTTGAAACTATAAGGAGAGGCCAGGCCTCCCCCAATGTCTGTTTCTAGGTAGGAGGTGGATTGGAGTCTTTAGACCCCAGCTGATCGGCTTCCTTTCAGACTGACCATGGTCCCCAGCCCCAGCTGCGTCCTGGTCCTCAGTATTGCTCAGCAGTTCTCGGCTTGTCCTGCGTCAGCGTCTTCCTCCAGTTCCCACCGTGGCTGTTCCAAGCCTCCTCATTCTTAGCAGCTGGCCTCCCTCCTGTGCTCTGGGGAACAGAAGCCACTGGCAGGCGCTCCCCGCTCCCGCCTTCCCTCCTCCGCCTCCACCCAAGTACGCATTCCTTCCTTTCCACCCAAGAGCTGACCACGTCCTCCCCCGTCTAGGCCCCTAGGATTCCTCCCTCCTTTTCACCTGCCCCTTCACTCAGTCTTCCTGCTTCTCACCTCCCACCGCCGCTCCAGTCCTCTGCCTTTGCCCGTGACTGTTCTTGACTTCCGGGTGTTTATTCTAGAAAGAAGAGATGTAGACATTGTCTTCACTTTCCACTCATGCTTCCTCCCAGTGCAGTCTGATTTCTCCACGACCACTGAGCTTCCAAGATTTCACCAACGTCTCCAGAAGCTTCCTAACTCCCCAGTGCCCTGGCCTCCTGTAGTCTTCACACCCCTTCATCTGTCCGTGGGATGTGGTATTCTTGCTCCTTCCTCTCTGCTTCAGGACTGCAGCTCAGGCCTGCCCTGCTACTCCTCTGCCCCCCACACCATGCCCTGCCCCACCCCATTCTGTGTACTGTGTTTCCTCCGGTAGAGGGGGTATTCCATATCTCCTGGACCTAGGACGGGACATCGTAGACGTTCAGTAAATGTTAAATGAGCACAGCCCACAGAACACAGAGGGACCCACAGAAAGTCTGAAACTGCATTCTACAGAAATCTATTTGGAGGCAACCCTGTTGGTGCTGAGTAGCAGGGGACAAAATAGAGAAACGAAGGGCCACACATTGGGGGAGTTTCAGAGAGTGGGTCGGAGGTCGGGAACCATAAGCCCAGCTCTGTGGGGAGAGTTTCCTACATCACCCCTTAACCCTGCATGGCTGGGAGCTTAGGTCTAGGTCCCCACAGAGTAAGCCAACTGATGAATGTCTTTACTTATGGTCTTTTATTCTCTCTCTCTCTCTTTACTCTTTGTTCCATCTTTGTCTTCCCAAACCCGCAGCCCAGCTGAGGACGGAGGCAGGAGACAGCCCCATCGTTACAGCGCTGTCTGACAGCTAGGGCGCAGCCTTAGAATCACACTGCGCTGGGTCCACATTCTAGCTCTGCCGCCGGGTGGCCCCGCGCAAGTCACTTAGCCTCATTAGCCCTCAGTTTCTCATTTATAAAATGAGAATAATTATTATCCCAAAGGGGCACTGTGAGGGTTAAGTGAGAAGACAGAGTACTTGACACATAATTAGTGCCCAGTATTGATCATTATTGATGGATCGCCATGCCCAGAGGTCCCTGAGCAGCGATTATACAACATTCTATGTCCAGGAGGCCCCCAGGCATGGCTGCTGACCGCTCATCTCTCCCCTTCCTTTGTAACAGGTATTCGTCAGTTACAGCTCATCCTGTTCAAGGTGGCCCTGATACTGGGAGTTGAAATCCATGTGAATGTGGAGTTTGTGAAGGTTCTAGAGCCTCCTGAAGATCAAGAAAACCACAGTACAGTATAACTTTCCTCTTCCGTCTAGAAGTCAGATATTGCAAAATGGAAATTACATTAGCCGCTCTCGGGATGTTTCGGTGATGGTTATTCTTATCTGGAGCTGTGTGGCATGATTCCATCCATGGATAATTCACCTTTCTTGACCACTGCTGTCAGTTCGGTTTGCTCTTCAGCTCCCAGGGGTTATATGATTAAGCCATTAACCCTGTAATTGGATTACCCTGCCAGTAGGAGGTGGGGCTTTGACAAATGAAGTCAAATCAGGAAGTAGGCTGGAAGACAGATTTGGCTGTCGGACAAAGTTCATGTACATGCTCTTCAAGATGTTTGTGTACACACACAGATATGCAGACACACTTGTACCCGCATGGCATTTTTAAAGTCTAGTAAAGACATTTCCAGAGCAAATATGAAATAAATGTATTCAAAATAGTATTTGGTATATAATATTTTTAAGCTTGATTAAAGTATAATTTCCAAATTATAAAATGCACCCATTGTAGTTATGCCTTACGTACCCACCCCCCTTAAGTATGTTTATGTAAATTCTGATATTGCATGCACACCACGGTCAGAGAGTTTGTTCACGACGCCTCTGCATCCTACTTACTATCGAAGTCTTCCCCTGCCTGGCTTTCAGTTTTGAGCCAGAGAGTGTTGGAGACCTCGTGGTTTCACACTCAGGCTACAACTCTGGTTCCCCCTGTCTTAGTCCAGAATATTGAGAATTTAGGGGAGGCGTTAGCTGGCTTTTGTAGCTGGGCATCCATTCAACCCTCAGAGACCTGTGTGCTCGAAGTGTTCCCCAGCCCTCCAGTGCATGTTAAATTCTAATTATGAGAACCATCAAGCTTTCATAAAGACTGTGCTGCACAACGGAACATAATGAAGTGGGAATTCCAACTGGTTTTATTACACCCTGCACATCCTTTGTGGTCTGATCAGCACCAGAGGGCACCGAGGAATATGGGGAATATGAAGAGAACATGGTAGAATCAGCTGAGAAAAATAAGGTGCAAGTGAGACCGGTGTGAGAATCATTGAGGGTAGACTTCCAGCCTTTATAGAAACCAGTAAAACCAGGCATGGGGTTGGTGCTGCTGGTTTACTCTGTCTTGGATTGAACTACAGCGAAAGCCAGAAGGACTCCAGATTCCAGTGTGAATCTAGACGGCTCCGGTCTTTCCTCTGGAGACTCTGTCTGGGGTGCCTGTACCCCGTGGCAGTGCCCTTTGCTCATGGCCAACACGGGGGGGGGGGGATAATCACGCTCTCCTCCCACCACCCTCTGTGCCAAACCATCTCATGTTCCTGTCCTGGCAGAAATCGGCTGGCGGGCAGAATTTCTCCCTGCAGACCACTCTCTGTCGGAGTTTGAGTTCGATGTCATCATCGGCGCTGATGGCCGCAGGAACACACTGGAAGGTGAAGACTCCTCTTCTCTTCTCAGGGCTGCGGCTGGGAGACGGGTGGGAGGGGTGTGCCTGGAAGGGGGAGAGGAAGAGGGAGCACGGTGACAGGTGCCAAAGCTGGAGGGGTCTTGATAGAAGGGCAGGCCGCCCTGCTGTGCCTCCGGTGAGTGTTTAGAGAGCAGCCGTTTAATTCTCTCTGAACTTCGTGAAAGGTGGAAAATAGAACCTTGTTAGAGAATCATTTTGAAGACTGGGAAAGGGTTTCTATGTAAACATGCTTTATGAAAGTTAAGTGCCATGGAAATTAAAAGAAAAAATCAACACACATTCCAGCCGGGGTGCTCCCAGGGTATCAGTTCACTGTTGAGCACAGTGCTCCGGAAGGAGGAGCCCATCGGCTTTCATAACCGTGGAGCACATCCCCTCCTGGGCAGTGAGATGGGTCTGCCCAGGCTGTCAGGGTGCAAAACCGCTCTCTGAGTTGTACATTGGGAAGTTGCACCGATTTTCCTGGGTTAGGATCTAGTTCGGTTGCGAGAGGAACCTTGCTGCCAGGAAATGCCTTCAGGCACGTCCACCCCAGCCCCGACATGAACTGCGCACAGGTGGTAGTCACTTGCACTAACTCTGCTGTGTCGTCTGAGACCAGGGGTTGTGACGAAGTAGTCCCACGTGGCATCTCTTTGAGGAGGCACAGGTCTGCTTTCCGAGCTTGCCCTGCTCGAGGGCTGCAGAGCAGGTACCTGGTTGGGAAGGCACCTCCTCTGGGGGTGGGCACACCCCCTGGAACAGGGCTGGCCCGCCGAGGCTTCCCACCCGCTGCGCAGACTGCTCTTCCTCTCTCCTGGCCTCATGCCTGTTCCCTACCCCTGCTATCAGTGGCCATGTCTGACGAGGAATTTGTAAGCTGCCAACCTGGATGGAGTGCTGTTCGAGGCTGTGGGCCATTCTGGTGGTGTGAGGAAGTTGTGAGTCTGAGTAGTTGAAAATTCAGGATCCACGCTCAGCTCGAATGTAGTTTGGTGTTTGGGGAACACGGGGACAGGGTAGGAAGGAGGAACCATTTGAGCAACTTGAGAGCAAGAAGGCAGAACAGAGCAGGGTCTCAATCTGCACGACTGACATTCGGGGCCAAATGGTTCTTTGTCATGGGTGCTGTCCCCAAGACTTTGTAGGATGCTTAGTGACATCCCTGGCCTCTACCCACTAGACAGCAGTAGTAACCCCAGTTGTAGTAACCACAGATGTCTCAACACTTTGCCAAATCCCCCCTGGGGTGCAAAATCACCCCCGGTTAAGAAACACTAGACTAGAGAATAATGGCCACTTCTGACCATTTTTGACAAAGGTCCAATGAAGAAGAACTCAAAGGAGTGGTTACAGAGTAGAAACCCATGATTTTCAGTCAAAGGGATTTTTGACAAAGAACTCTGGGCATCAGCATGAGGCTTGATGATACGGTGAGGGAATGTGAGGGCAATTCCCGAAGGTGGCTGATGACAAAGGTCATGTCCGGCGAGTCGGCCAGGACAGGGAGGGCCTGAGTTAAAGTCACCAGCAGTGCCTGGGGCAGAGGGGACACTCGGGATTGGAGGGATAGTCAGATACTAAAAAGAAAGGGGATTAGAAAGTGGTCTGAGATGTGACCATCCACTTGCGGTTTTCTGTGTGACCACCTGTGGGACTGTGGTCTGTAACAGGGAATGTGCATCTGGTCTTCATCCCTTTCTTGCACAGAGCCCCCCAAACCCTTGGGATGATAAGAGCAAGGGGAACATCTTCTGTCGTAATATTTAGTCTCTTGTCCTTCGTTCCTGAAATACCTTTGGAGCCATAAAGGTGAAGTGGGTGCCTTCTTATTCATAACAGGCCCCTTTCAGCCACACCTGAGTTTATGTTAATGAGGTGACTTTTGGACATCACCTAAAGATGGGGGGGGCTGGTTGCCAGGGGAGCCAGTCACATGATTAGAGGGCTGGAACCTTCAGCCCCACCCCCTGACCTGGGAAGGGTAAGGGGATGGAGATTGAGTGCCCAGGGCCCAGTATTCACTCAGTCATGCCTAAGTAATGAAGTCTTCAAAAAACCCAAAAGGAAGAGGGTGCGGAGGGCTCTGGGGTTGGGGAACAGGTGGGTATTCAGGGAGGGGGTGCTCTGAGCAGTGTGGGAGAGCCCCACCCTTCCCCCATACCTCGCCCTGTGCCTCTCTCCGTCTGGCTGTCCCTGCGTTATCTAGTAAGGACAGTGTTTCTCTAAGTTCTGTGAGCTCTAGAGAATTTAACCCAAGCAAGGGGTCCTTGGAACCTCCAAACCATAGCTGGTGGGTCGGAAACATGGGCTCGCAACTGGCACCTGAAGGGGAGGCCAGCCTCGTGGGACTGAGCCCTTCACCGGGGCAGTCTGACGCTCTGTCTGGGCAGCCAGTGTCAGAATTGAGGTGAATCGTGGAACCTGCAGCTGGTGTCCCAGAATTGCTTGCTGGTGTGGGAGAAAAACAAAACAAAAACACCGCACATTAACTTCTTACCGCCATTAAAGAGAAATTTCAGTGTAAATCATTGAAAACCCTGAGGAATCACTGTTCTACATTAATTGTGACTTAGAATGCCACCTATTTATTATACATTTATTGAGTGTGTACTAAGTGCCAGCCACCAGACTTGAGAAGGAACATTTGTTAATATTCCTGATTCACAAGAATTCAGTTTCGTAATCCTGTTTTCAAAAGTGGGGGGGACACACCACACCATGAACATGCTAACAAAGTGGTTTTAATCGGAAAGTTCACAGCGCGTGCAGGTCTAATACATCTTGAACAGAGTGGGCAGTGAGTGCCTGCGGAGATCAGCCTATGTGTGCCGAAGCCGAACCAGGATAATGCGTCCTGAAAGGTTTAGAAAAGGAGAAAGTCTCACTGCCTTAGAGAGGCCTCTGGCGTGTCTCCCCGGGCAGAGCTCAGCGTCACTGCCTGCCGGGTTCTCCAGGGATCGGAACTCTGCCTCCGCTGACCGGTGGGCCGTCGGGGAACAGCTTTCTCAGGAATCTTTTCTGGTTTCCGTACCAAGTCCAGCAGAAAGACCCACTCGTTCCCCTTCCTTCGCAGGGTTCAGGAGGAAGGAATTCCGCGGGAAGCTGGCTATTGCCATCACCGCCAACTTCATAAACAGAAACAGCACAGCCGAGGCCAAGGTGGAAGAGATTAGTGGCGTGGCTTTCATCTTCAATCAGAAATTTTTCCAGGACCTTAAAGAAGAAACAGGTGAGACTGTCGCCTTTCTCCAAACCAGGCCATTGTCACTTCCTAAAGCGCCCCGAGGAGCAGCTTTTGGACTGGGGTCCTCACTCTGAGTAGAAGCAGAGATTTCTCTTTAAGATGATAATGGGCAGGATCCTTCGAGGACAGAGGGATTCTTGAGGGAAAGTTCTAGATGTTGTACGTGACTAGAGGTACACATTTGTTGACTCAGGAAGCATTTACTGAATGCCCATTCCGTGCTGGTGCTGAATATCATGGGATATAAAGTGGAGGCTGACCTGGACCCCACCCAAAGGGCTCCCTGTCCAGAGAGGGGCGCCCATATTAACCATCCTAATGTGGGTTGGTGGAGCTGTACCGAGATCGGCGTGTGATTCAGGGGGCGCTCTGAGTGGGGAGCCAGGAACCTGTGGGTGGTCCCTGAAGAAACCTAGGTGCTTCTGTGTAGTATGCCTGGTACCCTTCCTCCTAGGGATGTCCAGGGAGGCCCAGGGCACTTGACACTCACCCAGGGGCATCATCGTCCTCCAGGCCAGGGCCTCAAGGAAAGGATGCGTTTTACTTCCTTGACCGATATGTACCGAATGCCTACTAGGAGCCAGGTGCTGTTCAAGGGCGTGAGAGGGAGCACCTGGCCCAGCAAGCCCCCTGTCGGAGCGGTGCCCTCTAGAGGGAGACCAGCTCACAACAGCCGGTCGTCGGCAAGGACGGCGGGGGAAGACCTGCAGGGTGAGGGGGAAGTGAGGCATGGAGCACCCGCTCCCAGTTAAGATAGTTCCAGATTGTTTTCCTGTTTAACCTAATGTAAAAATACATATTTCTTCTTGAAAGGACAGTGTGACAACAGTGTTAAATCTTTACACAAACACATATCATCCACACCTACCACCGGCTGGCCCAAGACAGTCCTCATTTCCACACACTTTTCAGTAATGTCTCACCTGCCTTCCTACTTTTTACCGGGACCCTGCTCTCGGGGTAGCGCCAAGGCTCTTCGTTAGTGCTTTCCTCAGTCAGCGTCACCTTTTAAATATTGTCCCTACTGCTGCCTAGTCCTCCTGGTGGCCAGCTTTGGAGGATAGCTCACTACGGGGATATGTTATCACTGCTGAAGCATTTAAACCATGGAGCGCAAGCTGGCCGGCCACATGGTTTTGTATTGCCTTTGAGCCAGGAGTCATTTTAATTCTTCAAATGGCTGAAGAAATATCAAAAGAAGAAAATTTTGTGGCAAACTGGAAGTTATACGAAATCCAGGTTTCGGTGTCTGAAGCCACAGGTCTGCGGGAGCACAGCCGGGCTGACGTGTGGACGGTGTGGCCCGTGGCCGCTCCAGCAGCAGCGGCCGCGACACTGGCCGGTGGGCTCACGGAGCCCGGAGTCTTCGCGGCCATGGCGGCCCTTCACAGGAAAAGCTGGCTGACCTCTGATTTAGACCTTTCGGTTATTTACTGTTACAGCTTCTGTGGAGGATTATTTTGTTAAGATAGTTTTCTAGGAATGGGGCTCGTTACTGAGCCAGACTCTGCCCCTCACTATTCCCGTGACATGTGCCCGTTGAGTGACCCTCTGAAATTCAGCACGGTTACATTATTATTATTTTTTTTAAGTATTTCCTTCCAGCATATTAGGCCCTTGGAAGGATTTAAGAATTCTCCAACCCTTCCTTCCCTTCAAAAGCCAAGAAAATAAATGCTTAAATAAACCACCAACTATAAATTATGGCCGGACATTGAGTGTGTTTTTCCACACGTTTGAATGAGCTTCCTGCAGACTTTGCGGTGGCTGTCACCTCTGGCCATTGTTTCGCAGCACCGCCCCTCACACTGTGACAACAGTGGATATCCTCTGATTCTCTGGGGGGCCCTCTGCATCGAGGGCTGTTTCCTATTCAGTAGTAATAAAGGGGTTCCTATGGTTACCCAGCACGCCTCTGTGCCCACTGCTGATAAGTTGCCATGCATCTGCTCCTCTCTCTGCCTTGGAAAAAGCTGGGCCAATGCTTCTCAAACTCCAGTGTGACTCCAAATCACCCCTGAGCTTCTGACTCAGTAGGTCTGGGTTGTGCCTGATCATTTACATTTCCAGTAAGTTTTGGCTGGGGTCCCTGCTTTGAGAACCACTGAACTAAGCTGTCATCTCACGACATTGTTTACATGCAGAAACCTAGTCGATACAGCGCCTGCCATCGGTGGGAAGTGAAAAGATACCCCCAGCCCTCTCACCTGAGTTGCTCCTCCCAGGGCTCCTGGGTGTTCACACACGGCCAGGACAAGGTAGACACATCGCTTAGCTGTGTTCGCTTGGGTACATTCTGGCACTCGGTTTTATCTGTCCCAGCCTTGTATGTCTCAAAACTGTATCCAGCACAGATGCCCTGCAGGTAAATAAAGAGGCTAAGGCACACCAGGCGCGGGGGAAGCCGTCTGAGTACTCGAACACCTTCTCTTTCAGGGATCGATCTCGAGAACATCGTGTACTACAAGGACTGCACCCACTACTTCGTCATGACCGCCAAGAAGCAGAGCCTGCTCGACAAAGGTGTCATCATTAACGTACGTCCCGCTTGGCGGTTATGTCCTGGCTTCCCTGTGGGACGCGGGCTGGCAGCATCAGCAAGTGCAGGGCCGACGCCATCCTGCCAGAGCCTGAACGAGGGGAGGAGCGGAAGGGGCCGCCACCTGCCACTTTCCTTCTTGGTGTTGTGTGCCTGAGCCCACAATAATACAGGCAGAGGCATCTCTGCAGAGGACGGGGGAAAGGGGGCGGCTAACCTGAGTGTTAGTGTGGGCCTTTGCCCCGAGAGATCACCTCAGTCTTTCTCTTCCCCACATGTCCTTCAGCCCTGCCCTCTCCTCTGTCACAGACATTTGGAGGCAGATTGGGGCTTCTTGTCCTACTGGGACTCAGACACTTTCACTTGTGAAATTCACGCTGTCACCCTTGTTGACTTGCATTGAATCTTGACTTTGCCACCTATTAACCCAGGACCGAGACTCAGCTGCTTAACCTTTCCGAACCTCAGAATTCTCGTCTGCAGAGCAGGAATAACAGCTTCTGTCTGAAAGGGCGGTTTGGAAGCGTGCCTTTGAAAATGCACGCAGAGCCCCTCGCACGCGCCTAGCTCGCAGTGGACCGCGGATTCCCTCCGCAACTTCTCCACCTGCTTGTTTGTCCTGCCGGCTTCCTGGCTCTGCTTCCTGCCTCTGCATCTTCCTGCTGAGACAGGGAGCAGGGTTGCAGGAAGGAGCACAGAGCGGCGGGCCCTGGGCCTTCCCAGAGCCCCTGATCCTGCCACTGCTGATGATTCAGCCTCGAGATAAGGATCATGCAGTCCAGGGTCTGCCTGCTCTCCGGTGTCGGCCTACAGCCCCAGCAGCATGGTGACCATTCACTGCTGCTTGTCAGAGAAGAATGTGCCTATCTGCTCGCCAGTTCGTGCTGGCAGCGGCCGGATGGCACTGGTAACCCAGCCCTCCCCTGGGCCTCCTGCACCTTGGCCAGGTCTTGGTTGAGAACCGAAGTTGCTGGATGGGAGTTGTAGGGGTGGGGCACCGGATGAAGCCGACAGCACCACCAGCAGACGTGCGAGCGTGGGCTCGGCCTCTGGTACCCACTGCTGCCCGGTCTGGGGGAGGCAGGGCAGTGTCCCCTTCTTCCCTCTGCTCCACAGTACTGCTCCCAAAGTTGTGGCCTCTGTCAGGATGCCTGTATCAGATAGTGAAGGACTCTTTGGGATCCACGGGTGTAGGGGGACCTTTCCGGGGGGGTGCTTCTGTCAGCCCTCCTCTGGGGCACAGGGCACAGTGTGACTTGGGTTTCCGGTCTCACTGGCTGAGCACTGCAGCCTTCTGGTTTCCCTGAGGTCACCCAGGGCACTTGTCCAGGCCACAGCATGCTGTTTGTGTGACTCGATTCCTTGGCTCTGTCAAAGCCCCTCCGACTCCCATCTCAGGCTCTGCCTCGTGGCACAGGGGGGTGACAAGGACTCACTCTGGTCCCACATATCACAACTATGGGGGGGCTGGGAGCAGATCCCTGTGCTTGTCCTCACCGGGGCCCTTCTTCCCCCTCGGAGACTCTGCGAGCATCTTCGAGCTGGTGCTGAGGGGCCTGTAGGTACAAGACATGAACTCTTATCTAGAAACTGGCTGGACATGGCGGAACTGGACACCGTTTGGTTCCGGAGCTCTGGCCTGTCTCCAGGTGTCCAGCTCTATAGTAGTTGCAAAAGCTGGGAGTCGACCGTCTGTCCCAAGCCACTCGAATTAGCCTTCCTCTCTCGCTCCTGCAAGAATGGCAAGTCCTCTCTGCTTTCCTCTCCCTACACGCGTCAGCATCTGCCTGGAGGCACACAGAGGTGCTGAGAGGGTGTTTGCTGGATAACCGAGTGACCAGCTTCCCCATCTATCCTGCTGATTTCTGGGCTTCTCCCTATGGCTACTGGAAGGAGAGGACCGTTTCTCCTCAAGACACCAGCCCCTGCGCTCCCAGCTGCTCCGCCTCGCTCTCCCCACAGGGGGCGGGCCGCTCCCCGGGACCTGCCTCTGCCGGCCCACGCACACGCAGGCTGGGATCCGGCCCACACACACGCAGGCTGGGATCCGGCCCACGCACACGCAGGCTGGGATCCGGCCCACGCACACGCAGGCTGGGATCCGGGTGCAGCAGGCTCGGTCTCGCCGTGACGGGAGCTTGGTCTCCAGGCGTGTGAGGTAGACGCATGTCACAGCGGGTCTCCCGAGCCTGAGTGCACCCTCGTTTGAAGCACCGGACAGACACTGCCTGACCTTCGCCTCCGGCCTACAGCCTCTTTCCAGCCCAACACGAGGGAGACCACGCTATCTGTTGTGTTGCCTACCTTTGCGCATTCTTGCTGCCTCCCTCTGCTGCCCACCTGCCTGCCTGGCATCCAGCTCTCGTCAGTGCTCTGGGCCTGTGGAAAGGGGTCAAAATCCATCCCCCGGCCTTTATCTGAATTTGAACTACGTCCCAGGCCTGCCCACTTCACTGAGAGCCTCAGTCCCACTCTTTTCTTCCTGGTCCTTGTTTTCACCCCCACCCTGAGGACCCGCTTCTGCCACCCGCCCACTCACCTGGGACCTCGCGCCCTGCCAGGCCCCATGGCTCCTCCCAGCAGCCTGGGCCAGGTGGACTGTCGCCCCCGTGCACCCTGGGGGTCTGTCCCCCTGCCTGGTCCCCACACTTCTGCTCGGGGCACCAGCACCAGACAGTATACCGTGTCCACACTCACCCATTTCCGGCCCACCTCCGGGCTGCTCACAGCGTGTTTTGAAGAGGAGGCTTTCTGACATCTTTCTATTCCTGTTTCCCTATCTCGTCTCCACACCTTCAGGGGAAGGGAGTGATCATATGACTGTAGGAACAGGTACGAGAAAGGAAATCAAAGAGCAGGAGCTCCGGCCTAGGCACCATGACCTGACAGGGGGCGCTTGGGCCAGTGCTGACGCAATGTGGGTGACATGGTTTGGGTGCGGAGAGATTAGAATTCCCGGAACAAGGTATTTGGAGTCATGGCTACAGAGAAGATGGACCCAGTACGTTGCTCTGTTTGTAGATGGAACCTGCCTTCCAAGGGCTTTGTAACTGCTCTTGGCGCGGCCTCGGGGTCATCGTTTGGGTCATCGTTGTTGAGCACAGGAATTCCCGTTCATTGCCCAGGTGTCAGGCTGGGCGTTGACATGGTCTCATTTGCTCCTCACATGGCTCTGTGAACTTGTTATTCTCATTTACAAGTAGGAAAAGGGGAAGTCGGATGAGTTTAATAACGTGCCCAAATTTATGCAGTCAGTACATAGCAGAAGTGGGATTCGACTTGTCTTCCCCAATAACCCCAAGGCCTGTGTTGGTCCCTGTCACCCTCCCCCCCACCTCTGTCCCCGAGATGTGCACCTTCTGTGTCACCTTTTGGGAAAGATAATCTTTTAGTTTCTTTGGCCACACGATGAGCAGACTAGGCTCTGGGAGACAGGTGTCCTACAGTTCGCTGCCAGGGCCCCCCCAGCCCGGCATCCCCGTCCTCTGGGCTCAGGTTCTCCCCCACCCCCCACAGCAGGAAGTACAGCACATAATACCATGAGAGCAAAGCAGGGCCCCGAGTAGCCCTCAGCCTGTCAACAAAAGGAGTAACTGATTTTGGAGAGAAAGTTTGAGTTATGGGAAGCACCCCTTTCTTTTCTGTTCTTCTTTGATCACTAAATACAGTGTATCTGGACCACGTCAGCTTAGCCTAGTTCATTATGAAATCACTCTTTCATGCACTCTTTTCTCTGTTAATTTCACCGAAGTCCCGGCGAGAACCAGCCGTGTGAAGCATCCCTCTGCATCTGCCCCAAGACCTTGGCTGTGTACACTGTTCTCTGTTGAAACCCCTCAGTGAGATGGTTGTTTTAGAACTTAGCGCCAGGAAAAAGTTTCCTCCCCCGAGGAATTTCTGTGCTTCTTTCTTTCTTTCTGATAAGGACAGAACTGTGACAGAACTGTGATCCCATTTCCCTTTTGCCTTGAGGGCCAGGAAGCTCGAAGCCAATTCCAACGCTCACAGCTGGCTGGTTTGGTTCTTTCTTCCCTTGGCCCTGATGTTCTCTTTCTGTTTGATTAGCCGCCCTGTACCAACGCCACTCCAAGTCCTTCTGCAAGGGGGTGGGGGTGGACCCTTGCCCTCAGAGGGACGGGTTGCCACACTGCGCTCCTGTTCCCCCGCAGGACTACATCGACACTGAGATGCTGCTGTGTGCGGAGAACGTGAACCAGGACAACCTGCTCTCCTACGCCCGCGAAGCTGCTGACTTCGCCACCAATTACCAGCTGCCCTCGTTAGACTTTGCCATGAACCACTACGGGCAGCCCGACGTGGCCATGTTTGACTTCACCTCCATGTATGCCTCGGAGAACGCCGCCCTGGTGCGGGAGCGTCAGTCACACCCGCTGCTCGTGGCCCTGGTGGGCGACAGCCTGCTAGAGGTACGGGCTGCACGGAGAGACCCGCACTCCTGCTAGAAGGCAGGTCCCCGGGGTTCTGTCGGGCTGGCAGCACCGCTGTCCTGCAGCCGGGGAAGGCCGGGCCTTCAGTCTGTTGGCAGGACTGTGCCAGGCCCATGCCGGCCTCGGGGCGTGCCCTTCCTCTGAAGCAGAGGAGCCGTTGGTCTGTCACAGAGCTTCCTCGTCCACCTCGGGGTTGTCGTGGGCTGACCTCTGTTGAAGGACACACTTAGGTGGCCTGGTCTGGACTTCATGGCCATCCTTCTCACAGCACGTGGACCTTCAGCTGGGCCAGGACCCCTTGCTCATGTGGGGGGGTCTCTGTGGCCTTGCAGCCCTGAGATCCTGTGGGCTGCAGAAAGGCACGTGGGCTAAGTCCAGTCTCCGTCCCTGCTCAAAAGTCTTCCCAGAAAATCGGCAAATGCTCGGATCCTTAGGTTTAATCAATGCTTTCAGAAGGGATCCATTTTCATCTGTAATGTAAGCACTAACCAAAATGTGTGCATGTTTTTATCCCAAGTTGAGCATCGAATTCCAACGTACGCTTGGGACGCGCATGGGACAGTTTAGTGAGAAGTGAGCAGTCCCTGCTCATCAGTGTGTGAGCTGTAACCTAAGCTCCTTGCTTAAGTACTCAGCACCTCACCGCACACCCCACTTCTCAGCTCCGTCTCACTACTTGGCCCCATGATCTCCCCTTAGCCAACCAGACCAACCCTTCTTCCATCAGGCTCCATCCTTTACCAGCCACCAAGACTTTGCCCGCTGCTCCCCCTCCCCCTACGCGATTCCTGACTGGATTAAAATCAGAATCCTACGCTTTCTTTACAGTGCAACTCCTTGATGAAACAGGCCCGTTTCCCTCCCAGGAGGAGTGTGTCGCTGCCTTCTTTGAGCCCCCGTCTCGCTGTTTCTGGGTCACAGGCCCCGTTACACATACGTGGCTATGCTGCAGATATTGGTGTTTGCGGAGAATCCAAGTGGCTGCCTGTCGCCTGTCTACCCCGCGGTGCCTCGCGTGGGCCTGGCGGTCGGAGAGTGCTGGACGGGGTGGACAGCAGGCTGGGAGCCATTAGAATGACCCACATCTTGTATGTTTTCTTTTGCAGCCCTTTTGGCCCATGGGCACAGGCTGCGCCCGCGGCTTCCTGGCCGCCTTCGACACAGCATGGATGGTGAAGAGCTGGGACCAGGGCACCCCTCCCCTGGAGCTGCTGGCTGAAAGGTGAGTGTGGCAGCGGGCGCCCGACCGAGGCGGGGAAGGGCATGGCTGGCTGCTAGGAGGCACCTGGATGAAGCTCTGTCCCCTTCGCCTGCCTTCCCACACGTGGCTCGATTTGTTCATTGGGTCCCAAGGAAACTTTCTCCATCATGACCCACCTCCTTCAGTCACTTTCTCTAGGGGCCAGGCCCTAGGTCCTAGATGCCAAAGTGAAATTATCCTCTGGGGCGGCCATGAAATTGGGGTTCGGCACTGCTCAGTTGCCTGGGAGCTGGGAGTGGTTTAGGGGAAGCTTCCATCGGAGCGCTGAGTGCCCCGCTCTTCTGCTGCTGAGATCTGGGCTTCCTCCCGGACCCTGCCGTTGGCCATGTGGCTGTGACAGCTGGTGGACAGGGTGGGCACAGGCCTTTGCTGGTCTTGGGTGTGGAGGCCTGTAGTCATGGGGGACAGGCCACAGGAGGCCACGTGGCTGGGTGGTGGTTATAACAAAACCACAGGTCACAGGGCTGCCGGCTCTGCCTGGGGCAGGTGGCCAGCATCTCCACCTCCCAGACTCCTTCCTGCCTCTTCTGCACCCTTTGAACCTCCCCCACTTTGCAGATCTCAAGAACCACGGGGCTGGCCGGCACTGCAGGGAAGGGTTATACAAACACATCTAAGGAGCCCTTGAGAGCAGGAGAGGAGTGGGGGTGGGGACAGAGGCCTCGGGCTTCAAGAGCATTCCCTGACCCCGTGCCCTGCCTCCCCCAGGGAGAGTCTTTACCGGCTGTTACCTCAGACGACCCCGGAGAACATCAACAAGAACTTTGAGCAGTATACTCTGGACCCGGGGACACGGTACCCAAACCTCAACTCCCACTGTGTTCGGCCCCACCAGGTAAGGCCTTCCCTGGGACCCTGCACTGAGCGGAGGGAAGGAGGGGTCACCTGAAATCTTGGCATGTCCCTGGGACCAAGGCCACCCCTGCCTCTTGGCCCAAAGTGGAACCAGCTCCTCTCTCTGGGAGAGTCACAGGAGAGAACTAGAACCTATGTAAGTGTATGTCCACCTCTGTACATATATTTACATAGGTTTATTTGTCACCAAGCATGTGTGTTGCTAAGCATGCCTCGCTCAAAGCGTCTACATGGCCGAATATTAAGTCCTTTCCACCACCGTCCTCGAGTCCACTTTTTTCTCCCATTGACTCAGACCGTACAACCTCCTGGGCCCATAGCACGAGTGGTGTGAATTTTAAAGTGAGCCAGTGACATAGTCACACTTGAGTGCCTCCGCCTCGGGTGGATGATTGAGACCCGTTGCTCTGTGTCACGCCCAGCGGTAGAGGGGAAGGGTGGCTGGCACCAAGCAGAGAGTAGGTCAGGTTCAGAGGCCCTGCGATGAGAATTTGGGGGCCAACTGGTGAGCGCTGCATGGTGTTCCTTGCTTGTAGGTGAAGCATCTGTACATCACGAAGGAGCTGCACCAATTCCCTCTCAAGAGGCAGGGCTCAGTGAGAAGATCCGTTGGCCTCTCCAGGCAGGGTGAGCAACCCTCTGGCACCCCACTGGGAAGGCTTTTCAGGGAGGAAGCCTGCTGGGGGCCATGGGGGCCCAAATGACTTGGTTGACCTCGGCCAGGCTCCTCTCTTCTGTGCTTCAGTTTCCTGTTCTGTAAAACCAGGACAGGGCACCCCGGCGGTATAATCATCACCAAGGAGTTAATGTGTTGAGCACTTGGCACATTAGAGTGAACGGCAGAACCACGGTGGCTGGGACTCGCTTTTCTTTCCTTTGATTTCCAGTGTGAGGGTGTGTCTCCCAGCTGGGTTCCAAGCCCCATGCACTCCACTCTTCCTGACCTTCCAGGGCCTGGCACAGTAGTAGAGGGAAGGGATTACTAAATCAATAACTCCCCATATCCACCAGGCTTTGCTTAGGTCACCGTCCTGCTTAAAGACCTCTCTGACCTCCGCCACCTGCCCAGACCTCGCGTCCTCCCTGCCTTTGGGCCGGCTCGGCCTTGGCAGCCACCCTCCCAGCCCTTCCCACAGCCATGCCCCGCTGCCGCCGCCCCGTAATCAACCGTTCTGCACAAACGTGGCAGGTTTTCCTAGCGTCTTTGCCACGGCATGGTCCTTTCTGTTTTCTTGCGATGCCTTCTTCTGTCTGATGAATTGCTAGACGCGTTTCAAGATGCAGCTCAAATGTACTTTTTTTGTGACTCTCTTTGGCAAGTTCCCGGGCCCTGGCAGACTCGGGGCAAACTCGCTCCCATGCTCCCCTGGCACCCTGCTTCTGCATCATTGCAGCGTCGTGTCATCGTCACCCGCGTCCGTGTCTGTCTTCCCCATGGGATGGGATGTGGCAGAGTCCACACTGTCCTCACCTGTGTGTTCCAGAGGATGTTAGGGACTCTGCTGTAGGAGACCATGCTTCCTATCCCAGCATCCTGCCCTCCTACCATACTCTTGACAGGGCCCCTTGCCTTGGCGCTGTTCCTCCTGGTCCCCAGCCTTGGTGGCAGGTAGAGAAGGGTCCCCAGGGGACCCTGAGATTTCCCCAGAGCATCTCACTATCTCTCCCCTTACTGCAGAGTCAGACATCCGGCCCAGCAAACTGTTAAACTGGTGCCAGCAGCAGACCGAGGGCTACCAGCACGTCAACGTCACCGACCTGACCACATCCTGGCGGAGTGGCCTGGCCCTGTGTGCCATCATCCACCGCTTCCGGCCTGAGCTGATGTGAGTCGGGCCCCGGCTGGACCTGCCAAGTTCCTCATAGCCCACGGGGCCCTGGAGGCAAGAGGAACCAGGGTTGTTCTGCTAGATGCAGAATCTCCAGAACTTGGTTCAAAATTTCTCTGTGCATATTTTCAATTTGGGTTTTTTCTTAAGTTTGTTTTTTTTCCTTTTGCACCAATTAATCTGCCCACAGCTCATTCTGAACGGAGGTCCCTAATATGTGGGAGCAAAAGTGACTGGGCTCGGTGTTATACTCGTCCTGCTGCCCCTCCACTGCCACTCCTGGGAGCCTCGAGCTTTGCACCCTGGGGCTCTGCCCTGAGAGGGGAACATGGGCAAGACCTAATTCTGGGGGGAGATGTGACCGTTTACAGGCCAAATAACTAGAGTTGAGACCCAGACTGACCAGCTCTGTGCACTGGGCAAGCCACTTGTCTTCTCTGAGTTTGCTCCTTCGTTTACTGGGGATAATGTCAGGTTCATTAGGAAGACTGAACTGTATGTAGATCAATGTGTGCAGTGTGACCACACACCCAGGGGCAAATGCATCCAAGGGGCTGAAAGGAAACCTCCCTAAGGATCATTAATTCGTACCTTTAGAAAGTGAGGTTGCCGTGAGGAGGGGCGGGGCTCTCACTTGTCACTTTACGTGTTATAGACAACTTGATTCTCTTTTGACAAGAAGACCATGTTAGTTTCATAATTAAAAGAAACAGAACATAAGGGAACCGTTTAAAGGTAAAGGAGCTCATACATTTTCCAAAGTGGCGTAAGTCATGTTCTGATTGTTTTCACCCCAGACAGCAATGGCACTGTCATGGCCCAAGTCTGATTCGGTCCCACCCTGGGTGACAAGGACAGTGTTAGCTTCTTGTGACTCAGCCTCCTGGGGAATGATGGGGGAGGCGGATGGGACACGGGCAGGGGTTGCTGCTCCTTCACCCCCCACCTCTGCATCCTCTCCCTGAATTTCACCTTGTCTTGATTCTCTAGCAACTTTGACTCTTTGAATGAAGATGACGCTGTGGAGAACAACCAGCTAGCGTTTGACGTGGCTGAGCGTGAGTTTGGCATCCCCCCAGTGACCACGGGCAAAGAGATGGCGTCAGCCCAGGAGCCCGACAAGCTCAGCATGGTCATGTACCTCTCCAAGTTCTACGAGCTCTTCCGGGGTACCCCGCTGAGGCCTGTGGGTAAGGACCTGCTTTGGGACCAGGCTTCTCTCTGCCCTTGGGCCATTTTGCCCCGTGCCCGTGTCTGGCTGACCTTCACACTGGTGTTTGCTGTCCTGGGGCTGACCCATGCCTTCCCTTCGACTTTGCTTCCAGATGGGTGAGCCCCACCCACCCAGACCTGTGCACGTAAGTGGGTCCGTGTACTGCAGATGCCAGGTGACGCTGGGTCTGCCCCCGGCTTCGGGGCCGTGTCCATCTTTAGTTGGAGGGAGAGAGTTATTTTGGAGGGAACGTGTGGCACTGACACCCTGAGCCCTTGGGTAGCTGTGACAGGATTCAAATCCGTCTTACTTTCACTTCCTAACAGACTCCTGGGGCAAAAACTACGGAGAAAATGCTGACTTCGGCGTGGCCAGATCATCCCTTGCTCATAACTATCTCAACCTCACGTTTCCAAGGAAGAGGACTCCACGAGTGAGTGCAGACTTGGGCTTTATTTAACTTAGTTTTGCACGTGGATGGGGGGAGGGGATTGGAGAACGTCCTGCCCTTGACCTGTTTCTGCTGCTGTTCTCACAGATGAAGCACTCGCAGAGACGTGCGTGAAATTCTGTTCAGTCCGAGTGATGGGAAGGCCCCCTGGCACCTTGCAGCTAGGCTAGCCTCAGGGACGGAAAAGCGGTTGCAGGAAGGTCACGGTAGCTCAGCTTGGCCCCCTGAGTGGGGAGGAGGAGACCGGTTCTCACTTTGTTGAGCAGTTCGTTCAGATCAGGAGCACAGTGGCCATCGAGGGGCAGGGGTGTGTGGTGACGCTACCTTTGCACATTCTGTTCTATTAACTTTTTTTTTCCTTCTGATTTTTTTTTATTTATTTTTTTATTAATTTATTTTTGTTACAAACGTTTCTCCTTTTATCCCCCATTGACCCCTGCTCCCGATCCCACCCCCGCACCCGTCCCTAGCATTGTTGTCCACGTCCATGGTTATGCACACATGCATATAAGTTTATTAATTCTGTTTTATTCACTCATCAACTGTTTATTGGGCCCTACTGTATGCCAACAATTAGGGCTGAACTTTTTGCTTGTTTTGATGAGGGAAGAAAATATGCAGAGATGAATAATATGTGGTCCTTGACTTTGAAGAGCTTAGAGACTAATGAAGAGGCTCCCAAACGTCCCTTACCTTTGGCAACCTTCGTGTTCCAGTACTTTTTGGCTCAGTGCCCAAGATAAAAAGAAATACCTAGAAATTCCACTTATTAAATAGTTAAGTTCAAATAACTTAGTAGGGGTATTGTACACAGTATACGACAGACTTCATTCACCATGTTTCCCTAGAAAATTTAAAACAACCTACAGCTCCTCTTTTACTGTGGTGCCATGGGTTCCTTTGGGGCACAATTTGGGAACTAGGGACTGAAGGAGAAATCATTTTATTTGAATCATGGCATCTCTGTGGAAGGGATAATACGCGTTGTCCTGCTTATGGTGCTCATTGTCCGGATCTACAAAAGGAGACCAGAAACGTTAGGGGGCAAGTACGCACGGGGCTCGCCTTTGTCTCCGGCGCGGGCAGCCCTCCCCTCGCTCGCTGGGCAGAGGGCCGCAGGCCCCTGCATGTCTCCGTCTCCCCGAGCTGCTGGGTGTCTCAATCCCTGGCCAGCCTTGCCATGTCCTGCCATCCTTCTGCCCAGGTGGGGCCAGGGCCGTGGGGCCTCCCTCATTTCTCTCAGCTATGTAAGCTGTGGTCACTTTCTCCGCCGAGGCCTGCGCTCCCGATAATGTCACAAGCCGCAAGCGTCATGCTAACTCCAGCAGCGGGAGAGGGTGCTTGGTGCTCCACCCTGTCCGCAGGGAGGCGTGGGCGACCACGCCAGGGCGGGAAGGAAGCTGTGCAGGCCTGCTCCGGATTTCAGCAGAGCCAAATGGCTGAGCCGCACCCGGCCGTTCGGTCCCCCTCTGTGCCCCTGGCTGTCCCATTCAGAGGCTCTGTGTAAGGGCTGGGTCGCCCACCACACGACCCGAGTGAAGCTGTGCTCTGGACAACAGCCGTAGGCTTGTTCCTCCCCAGGCCAGCATGTTCCCTTGAAGCCCAAGGACCCCCATCCAGGCAGCCACCATGGCCTTTCCAAAAGCCCCCTGGGCAGAGCAGTCCCCCTGGTGGCCCCCACCACAGGGCTCACAGCTGGGAACAGCAGGAGAAGCTGGAGGGAATGTTTAACCCTCTCACTACCACACCTCTAATTACAGTGACGGAGTGGAAACGGCCTGGCCAGGAGGTGGGAAGGGTCGAAAGTCCACAGTCCGCAGGCCAGCCAGGTCCTGACGGCTGCTGGGCCTCGCTCCACCTTCCCCTGGCTCTGCTAGGGAGCCGGCGTGTGTCTGGCCAGCCCTGCCTGACCATGTCCATTCTCCTCCAGGGCGTGCCTGTGGGCTGTCCCCCTTGAGAGAAGTAGAAAGCTGCAGATCTGACCCTCCCACGGCCCCATGTAGTGCCCCAAACCTGCCCTGCTCTTCAGATAGCTAGAGAGATTGTTAGGTCGCTGAAGTGTCTTACTGGTCCTCTCTTAAAACTGACTGCATGTCTCCTCTGGGTGGGATGGAAGTTAGCAAGGCCAGTGGGTCACCTGCTCCCTTGGTCGTCACTGACATACCAGCGTATTGTCCATGCTCAATGCCAGTGCAGTGACCGGACCACGTGGACAGTTCCTTCTCCCCATTTGTAACTGGATGTTTTTTTGGTTTGGAGAACCGCTTTGCAACGCTCTTTGGTCTTAACATTTCTCACAAGCAAAGAGTGCCCAGTCCACTCCCATTTGCCCTGGGATGGACATGGAGGATGTCTGCTTGGGGACACAGAAAACCACACACACGGAGGCTCCACTAGTTACACCCAGACCACATCAGTGCAATTAGAGACACAGCCTTGCTGCCCGGCTCGTGTGCCCCTGTGGACCGGAGGCAGGCCCGGCCGCACCTGCATGTTCTACACAACAGGTGCACACACGGTCTGTCCACACAGGTGCCTCTCTGTTCAACCCTGCCCCTTCTCCACTCCACCCTGCCCCTCCCAGCCCCCCACCCACTGCCAGAGGAGTGATGATGTGGGAATGGACCAGCCCGTGTTTGTTCACGAGGTGGCATCTTCATCTGAAGAGGGTTCCTTGTTTCTCTGCTGAGCCAGGCTTAAAAGTCTCTCTCCCTCCTCATTTTCACTGTTGGTGTTAAATTTTTCTCTCGTCCCTGATCCTGATAATGTCAGAATCCCTACTGACCAACATTAGGCAAAATGAGACATTTCCTCCACCAAGAGCTTTGCTTACATTTAGAGAGAGTAACTCTCATCCACCTGCCAAGAAGGTTGTCCCTCTAGTGAGTGGTTACAGTAGGTTGATTAGCTCTGAAGACTGGATAGTCCAGGCCTGTGAAAAGAAGAGCTTGAGGTTCTGTTCCCCTCTTATTAAGTCCTTGCTCTGCCCTGGCTGGTTTGGCTCAGTGGTTAGAGTGGCGGCCCACAGACACGGGCCAAGGGCACGTACCTCGGTTGCAGTTCGTCCCCGGCCCTGGTCGGAGTCATGCAGGAGGCAACCAGGTAGACACATCGATGTTTCTCTCCCTCTCTTTCTCTCTCTCTCCCTCTCCCCCTCCTTCCCACTCTATCTGAAGATAATTGGGAAAAAAATATCCTCAGATGAGGATTTTAAAAAATAATAATAAGCCCTTAGTCTGCTTCTGCAGATTGGCCTCTGGTCCTGGTCAGCATCAAAAGTGACGATTCCTGGGGACTCCTGGGCTCTTGGCACCATGTACCATAGGTGACACCTGGACATGGCTCTGTCCTCGCTCTCCTAGGCCTGCCGTGCGTGGGTAATGCCTGCATTTGTGGCCACTTCAGCCATTACACACATTGTGTTACATATGTACTCAGGGTACCTGATCTTTTCTGCATTCTGAGCCCATGGTTTGCAGGACAACACAGCACAGAAGTCATCACTTGTTCATGAAATGCCCATCCCAGAAGCCGGGTTAGTGATCCCAGGATATTTATCCTGCTCAGCTGACCGATTCTGACCCAGGTCCTTCGCCAGCACTGGTCCCGGAAGAGTGGAGTGCCCATGACTCATGTCAGTGTCTGGTCTGGGTGATCTGGGTCTCCCTCCCAGCTCTCTGCTCCTTGACCCTTCTGCACAAATACTCCGCAAAGAGCCAGCGGTTGCTAGGCATGGAAGTGCTTCCTCCATCCATCCATGCGGCTCATTCACTGAGTGCCTGTTTGATGGGGAGTTCTCCTCTTGAAGCCAGAGGTGGAGCAGTGAACCAGACAAGCAAGGACGCCGCCCAGGGCAGCTGACCTTCTGGAGAGACTCCTTAAGTTCCTCTCACTCCCTTCCCCCACTACTCTCACAGAACCACCCGCCAGCAGCCAAAGCTCCTTCTGGCATTCTAGTACTTCTCAACTCAGAGATTTAAGAAGGTTTAGGAGAGTCAAGAGGACCTGGCCCTGATGCTGCCCCACTCAGCGAGTGCAGGACCCATGGGCAGCCCTCCAGCACCTGCGGTTTGCAGGCTGATCTCTCCTGTACTCTATACAAACACAGCCTGAGGTCTGAGCTGATTTACAGAATGGCAGACGCATACGTATTTAGGTCTGCCGGGGACTCATGTATTTAAACCTCTCAGGGAGTTCCTTTGGTTGTTTGCAAAATGACTACAATAACAAATATTGCATTGCTGTGAAGACACCATAAATAAATGTGTGCTGCAGGTCTGAGCACATTCTTTGGCATGTGGAAGGGGCTCCATAAATGATAGTTGCTTTATAAATACTACATAGAGATGCTCATTGTCTGAAAAGATGAGTGAAACTAGTTGGCCTGAACACTTGGATCAGTACTGCACTTGGATCGATGTAGCACTTGACAGCATATGAAACACTTCTCTATAGATCTTACCTGCCCCTGGTGTCCCCTTCTGAGGAAGGCAGGGAATGCATTCTCATCCCAGTTTTAGAGAGGGGGAAACCTGGAAGTGGGGAGAGTAAATTGCAATGTTATGTAGGGGGTGACTCTCAAAGTCAGACCTAGAACTCAGATGTTCTCATTTCTGCTAAGGAGCATTAACTTGAGTGATGGTGTCTAACATGTATATAGCACCATATATTGTAAGAAATGTTTCACACACGATTTTATTAATCCTTACAACATTTTATGAGCTAGAGAGTATAGCATCTTATAGGTGAGGAAACTGAAGTCAGAGTTCGGTGATTTCCCTAAGGTCATACAGCCAGGAAGTAATCAGTGTCAGGATTTGAACCCATGGCTCCCACTGCTTTGCCCTTGAAGAAGAACAGTGCTCTCTTGCTAGTGTCACTGGCCACCTTTCTAGATCTCACGGCAGCCACCCTACTCAACCAAGTTGTTGCCTGCAATGGCCAGTCTCTCCCTGTGACCGAGACCTGAATTTCTCCAGGATTAGGTTATAGTAGCTAACTAAATGACAACTTTGTTTGCTTTGGGCTGACATCACATTAAGTCAGACAGTATGGGAACATGGTTATTGTGTGCTGATCAAATAAATTATCAGATTGGTAGATATACATCTATTCTTCTTAAATATGGTTTTATTGATTCTTTGAGAGAGAGAGGAAGGGAGAGATAAAAACATCAATGTGAGAGAAATACATCAAGCGGCTGCCTCCTGCGTGTCCCCAACCAGGGCATATGCCCTGACCTGGAATCGAACCAGGACCTCTCAGTCCATAGGATGAAGCTCAATCCACTGAGCCATACCGGCTGGGCCATCTATTTTTTTTTTTAATGGAGATACCGGTTACTTTAATAAATGATTTCTGATATGTAGAATCTTACAAATCATTAGGAAATCATGATAAAAACTTCAGGTGAAAAGGATGGAAAAAATTAATAGGAAAAGAAAGTGAGGTATTGGCTTATTCTCACGCTCTGTTTGACAGGGTACCATAAATATTTTCTTTCTCCCTGCACCTAAATTCTTTGTAGAACAAAATAGAGCCAGGAAAGGGGGGTGCTGAGCAACTTTAGTTCCCAAATAGAGATATACAGACAGATAAGAAAAAAAATAGATAGATTTCTAGATTTGCATTTTCTCCACCTTTTTGTTTTAACCAAACTCTTCACTGAGAATCAGTGCTCCATGCTAAACCCATGGGAAGAGCAGAGACCGTCTCGTCTCGGCAAGCTGACTGCTAACCTCTCCGCATAGACCACATTGCACTGTCCCACGGGTCAGGCCGGAGCAAAGGCGCTGTGGCTGCCCCCACACTTCCTGGATTCCCCCGAAGGATTTGGGGTCGTCTTAGGTGCCGCTACTGGACACGCTCCCCCAGGAGCTTTGTGTGCGCCTGTGGCTAACACTGGGCTTGGATCTCGACAGACTCCGGTTGTTGGAATAGTCACACCTGGGGTTGTTGAATGCAGAAGAGAGAATAAAGACATGTTGCTCTTTAAGGAAAAAGCCAAGGCCTCCCTTGAGGTGGAAACAAACAAACAAAAAGAACAACAGAAAACCCTGCGATGGGCGCCAAGTGCCCCCGCTGGTAGGACAGCCTGTTCTTCCACAGGCCGGGTCTCCGGCTCTGGAGCGGGGGCCCAGACGGCCTGTGCCTCTAAGGCCCAGCATTGTTGAAAACAAGGTCATCTGTTTCTCTTGGTGTTTGCCCAAGCCGTTGGGCCTGAAATAATTTCCATTCACAGAATAATGATTTATTGGGAGCTGAGGAAATGTGGGAGGGAAGACAGGGCCCTTTAATCCGGTTTTATTTTTTTGATGCCTGAGCAAGGGAAGGATCAACTTTTTAAACAAATATCAATGACTAAACTCTGGTTGATCTTGACTTTGAAAACATTAAAGGTTCTGGTAAGTATGGGGTGAGGGGAAGTGTAAGGACTGGGGAGCAGGTGCTTTCTGGTGGAAGCCGGTGAGTCCGTAACAGACCGTGCTAGGGACTCTGTGCTATTGTTAGTGCTGTCACTGTTATATAGTACATGATCATCCCTTATCATAGTATCTGAAATTATTAGTGTTGTTCCGGAACAACTGGGAGGTAAAAGAATCCGCTTGTGGCTGGGCAGGTTTGGGACGTGTGGGGCTGGGGGTGGCACCCTGGACAGGTTTGGGGTGTGTGGGGCTGGGGGTGGCACCCTAGGCAGGTTTGGGACGTGTGGGGCTGGGGGTGGTACCCTGGGCAGGTTTGGGGGGTGTGGGGCTGGGGGTGGTACCCTGGGCAGGTTTGGGACGTGTGGGGCTGGGGGTGGCACCCTGGGCAGGTTTGGGGTGTGTGAGGCTGGGGGTGGCACCCTGGGCTGAGGGAGAGAGCAACCAGCAGCCCTTGCGACTGCCTCCAAAGTGGCCCGGCCAGGAGTTCATCTGGGCCTGCCGCGGAGGGCCCTCTGCGGGGGAGAAGGCCCCAGCTGGAGGGATACACAGTCGTGGGGATGATTTCATGGTCCTCAGGGGGCTGGCCATTTGGAGAAGGCCCCAGCTGGAGACTGGTGGTAGAGAGGCCTAACCTCAGTGTCAAGAATGGACTCACCCGCAGTGTGCAGAGGAGGTGCTAAGTCATCCCTCGGACCCAGCCCAGCGCAACCTGGACATTGCACTCGTTCCTTTGGCAACCAAGCCCGACGACGGGTGGCCTCTGGTGGTCCTTGCAGGGGTGATGTGATAGGCTTGGGAAGTGCGAGTTTCTCTGCGTTTACATGTCCAGATCCGGGCAGCAGGGAGCAGGCGGTAAAGGGTATTGGTAGGGCCACCATGTAATGTATTGTCCAAACCAGCCCGCTTTGGGGAGTGGAGAGAAGCATTATCACTAATTATGCCAGGGACAAAAAGCAGTGAGTCAAACGTGCCCTGGACAAATGGGGCTGCATACTCATCACAGTGCTCGGACAAAATCTGGTGCTCCTTTGAAATGAAAATACCGAGCACTGGTGGCTGGGGTGGTGACTGAATGCGGATGTAATTTACCATCAAATCCCTGGGCAGCTCTCTGAGTCCCTAGAATCCCGCCTGCGCAGTGAGCCCGTCACCTTGTCGTAGGAGGTCCCCATAGCAGTCCCTGAGGGGCTCCAGCAGGCTGGCTGTTACTGCCTGAGCCCAAGGTCGCGTTCACAGCGGGGAAACTCCCCGTCACGTCACAGGGAGTCTGTGCTTTGGGGTGTCTCAACACGATGTGGGGATGTGATTCCCACCCCTTCTGACAGGTGGGGTGAGGATCCGACCGCTGCACCCACACAGAGCTCTGTGCGGCTGTAGTCATGGCCAGGGCAGTTTGTCTGTCTGTCTCGGGGTGGGGAGGGCTGCTGGCGGAACTGTGGGCTCGTGTGGCCCTGAGATCACCGTGCTTTCTTGGCCATTGCAGGTGGACAGCCAAACCGAGGAGAATAACGACATGAACAAGCGGCGGCGGAAAGGCTTCAACAGCCTGCGTGAGGTTCGTGAGCACAGTGTCGGTTTACACAAGGGCCCGTTGCCCGACGCCAGTGGCCACAGGCAGCCCCAGTGCCCTGTCCTCCTTGCTCTCTGCTCTCGGGAACCACTCGGTTCCAAGCTTGACTTGGTGGAAAACAGTCGGGTTCTGGTCCTCGCTCCACTGCTTACTGGCTAGGTGACCTTGGGGAGAAGAACCTCCCAGGGGGGGGCTCATGTCTGTAAAATACAAATGATACGTTTGAAATGTATGAAACTTGGCAGGATTTTTGAAGATTATGTAAGGAGATGTTATTGATGTAACATGCTGGGCATGATATATGGCACCTATGTTAATCAATATATAATCACTATTAATAGTGGGCAGTAAAGGGGCACCAGCTGTCCCTTCTCCCAGCCATTGTTTCCACCTTTCATGTTTTCTGAACTTTAAGGCCAATGTCCCAGTGCCCACAAGTGCCACCTTCTGGTGATACAAGAAAATGACAAGCTACTTTGTCAAAACCAGGCACGAATCTCTCTACTACTGAAAAATTGATCAGCAGAAAAAGAAAGTATCAGTTCCACTTCCCCAGGCGGCTCTTTAAAGAGGCCTGAGATATCCCTTCATTTGAAAAGGCCGTCAGTCCCACAAAAGCAAGCCCAGATGTTGTCAATGAACCCCAGGATGCCAGCTCCAGGGAGCCTAACAGCTGATGTCACGATTATGACATAGAGGCACGTGGATAGTTTGTATAATGCACTGCTACCTGAGTTACAGGACTTAGAAAAGACTTCGTCTTCTATGGCTGAAGAGGTTTTGTTGCTGTATCTTGTCATGACGTTGTTCATGTCTGGGATTTGCTTCATGGGGAAGCTCTGACCGGGATCAGGACCCTGGTTCTCACAGCTGAACTTTGTAACAATTAGAGCCATGAGGGCTGCCGTGGGAGAGAGGGAAGCTGCCTGTGGGCCAGCCTGTGTTCTGGGATGCTCAGAGGGAAACGCTGGCAAAGAAAGCCTGGAGTTCAGTTTATGTCTTAAAATGTGCATGGACTCATTTTATTCAGTGAGTTCAGATCACCCTTGTTCAAACCTTTTCTCGAACTACTTTGGCTGATCACTTCAAGAACTGCTGCTTCTGTCTCTTGGCCCTGGTGTGAGCCAGAAACCAGGGCATAGGGCGATAATTGAGAGGAGGAAGCAGAGGCTTATTGGCGGGGCAGGAGAGATGTTCATTTCCCCGTGATGGGTGCTGGCTCTCACTTCACATGCTGGTGACTTGCTCTGGCCTCCGCCTAGGCAGCTTCCCTGGGTGCACTTTGTCTCGGGTGGATGTCTTCTCCTGCCTTTCATCCCGGGCCTCTCTGAGGGGCGTTTGTGCTCTTTCTGTTGACAGCACGGGAGTGAGTGTGGGGAGACATCTGCCTGCACCTGCCCCTTCTGCGATGGCTCTGGGCAGTTTTCTGCGCCAGCTTTTTTGCTTCCAAGTCAGATTGAACCAAGCAATAATTTTTTCTCAATTCTCGCTGTTCAAAGCGTGTGCCAAGGAACAGAAGCATCATCGTCACCAGGCAGCTGGTTAAAAATGCTGAGTCTCAGGGCCCACTCCAGGCCACCGAACATGAATCTGTTTTCGAAGGAGCCCCTGGTGATTCGTGTCTGGGCAGTGCTGTCTCTGCATGACCCACTGTCCCGGCTGGCTTTGGCCTTGTACAAGCAGTGACCACCCAGTGCCCTCGCCCTCTCTGACTCCAGGCTGCATTGCTATGCAGAGTTACATTTCCCACTTTGAAATGGGGAGTGTCTCCAGTTCGTGTTTGCCCAACACTTCAGAGTGGCCCTGCATACACGGCGTCCCAGGGGGCCGCTGCTCTTAGGGATCTTCGTAAAACATGGCTGGTGGCCTGCTGCTTCCATGAGTTTCCTTGTTGTCTTCAGAACAGCTGTTTCTGTGAGGGAGACTCATGGTCTCCTTGGGAAAGCAGACTGACCACTTGACCTGACAGTGCCGTTGACCCTTCGAGGCCTGTGGGAGCAGGTCCTATGGGAAAGGGAACAGACATTCCGTGAACTCTGGTAATTTTCCAAGGTTTATTTTTAGCAGATGAGCTAAAGAAACCTTATGTGGAACTCCATCTTAGAAAAGAGCATAATCAAGTGGTCACAGCCAACATCTCACCAGGCATTAGTCACGCTGGTGTCATGTGCCCTGGTATGAAGCAAGGAGAAGAGCACCCCACTTTGTGGCACCCTTCTTCCAAACCCCTAACCCCGCCTACTCATGAGAAACGTCAGAGCAGCCCAAGTCAAGGGACTTTGTACACAATGGCTGACCAGCCCGCTCCAAAACTGTCAAAGTCATAGAAGACAACGAAAGATGGAGGAACTGTTACAGATGGAAGGAGACTAAGGAGAAGTAATGGCTTAATTCCATGTAGGATGTAGGATCCTGGATTGTGTCCTGGAACCCAACAAGGACAAGTGTGGAAAAACCGGCATGATCCAAACCAAGTCTAAGGTTTATCGTGTCGTGGCAGTGTTAATTTCTTAGTTGTGATAACAGTAGCATATTATTCCAGACATTAACTTTATGTGCAGCTGGGTGAAAGGTATGCAGGAATCGTCTGTGCTATCTTTGTAACGTTTCTGTATATCTGAAATTATTTCACAATTAAAGGTTGTTTTTAAAAGATAGCAACAACAGCCCTGGGCAGTTTTGCTCAGCGGTTAGAGCATCGGCCTGCAGACCAGAGAGTCCCAGGTTCGGTTCCCGCTAAGGGCACGGACCTCGGTTGCGGTTTGTCCCCAGCCCTGGTTGGGGTTGTGTGGGTGACAGCCAGTCGATGTGTCTCTCTCACATTGATGTTTCTCTCTCTCTCTCCCTCCCTCTCTACCTAAATATGAATGCATAAATGTCCTCGGGCGAGGATAAAAAAGAAGAAATTTAAAAGATAGCAACAGCAGAGCGGGGCAGGTAGAAGATGGGAGTGGGTTGCAGAGGAGGAAGGAGAAAGAAGCCCAAAGCTTGTCCCTGATTGACACCCTCTTGCTCCTTTTATTCCCCCAACTGTTCATCTCTTGGAAACCAACGGAAGTATTTTGAAAATGATTTTACTTACTGCTTCATTATTATATCTGATTTTTTTGCAACAACCATGTGAAATGGGTTATGCTCCCATTTTACGGATGAGGAAACTTCAGGGAAGTTAATTGCCGAGGTCACTGGGCTGGGATGTAAAAGACTCAGGATTCAAACCCTAAGTCCTGGCTCCTGAGCCTGGGTGTGCCCGTCTTGGGGAAGACACCTCCCCCCCAGGAGCATTGTCTCCATTTGGGCATCAACTGCTGCTTGGGCCTCACTTCCTGACACCATGGAGGGTCCCCTTCTTTGGGAAATTAGTCCCCTGTCCTCAGCGCCCAGACCCTCTCCCTGATACCTCGGTTCCGGGACCCAACAATTAATGCACCGGCTTGGACTTTGCAGCCTCCAACCTTTTCCAGCCGAAGTTTGGGCTCCAGTCAAGAGGGCAGCGGCAGTAAGGAAGGTGGAAATCAGAACAAAGTCAAGTCCATGGCAAGTCAGCTGCTGGCCAAGTTTGAGGAGAACTCTCGGAACCCTTCACTCCTGAAGCAGGTGAGTCCTGGACCTGCTCGCTGGACCTGCTTTCTTGGTGACCAGAACTGAGAATGCAGCACAGATGTTCAGGCTAGTGATGGATTTCAGGTATGTCAGCCAGGCCAGGCTCAAGTGAGCCTTCTTCTCAACCAGGAGTCAGCAGAATCCTCTAAAAGGGACCGGATAGCCAGTACTTTAGGCTCTGGGGGCCACCTGATCTCTTTTGCAACCACTCAACTCTGCCATTGTAGCCTGAAAGCAGCGTAGACCTAAATAAATGTGCATGGCTGTGTTTCAATAAAACTTTATTTACAAAAACAGGCAGCAGGCCAGATTTGGCCCGAGGACCGTAGTGTGCCATGCCTATTCTGCATTAGAGAAGAAATCCTTTACCTAATTTGGTTTTACTTTGCAACCATGACTTGGTTTGCGGTCCTCAGTAAGATGGTGCAGCTGGAAGAAGCTTTAGAGGTGCTGGCTCCTGGGAGAGCACCAAGTCCATGGTGAGAAGACCCATCCAAACAAGGGGAAACTGAGTCACAGGTCTTAGCTCCATGTGGGCCTACGGGAATGGGGACCAACCTCCCTAGTGTTGTAGTGCCTCCTCTCCCTATTCCCCCAGGTCAGGTTGGCAGGGCTGTGTGTCTGACCAGGGTCAGAGTGTGGCTGAAGGCAGTCAAAGCTTGGACTGTAGCGTAAGGTCTGAGCTGCTTGGTTCAGTCTGCTCCCCAAATTCCTCTGGGATGCCACTGCCACACTACCAAAGCTTGGGGTAAGGGGCTTGGGTTTTTTGGAGAGTGCTTTTCACATGACAGAATTAGGCTCCCCTTGCCCGGACAGTGTGGCTCAGTGTATCGAGCATTGTCAGATGGACTGAGAGGTCCCGGTTTGATTCCAGGTCAGGGCATGTGCCTGGGTTGCGGTCTCGATCCCCAGTAGGGAGCGTGCAGGAGGCAGCCAATCGATGTTTCTTTCTCACGTCAACATTTCTATCTCTCTCTCCCTTCCCCTCTCTCTCTAAAAAATCAACAAAAAAATATATATATATTTTAAAAAAGGAGTTAGGCTCCTCTCAGGGGGTGGCAGACTCCAGGTTGATTAGGTTTTTACAGGTGATCATAGAAGTCTCCCTGGTCTGCATGTGAACCACGCCCCTTCCGGATGAACTTGACCTTTCCCAGGAAGCCAGGTTTTATTCCAAGGGGGCCGTTTTCCTGAGACTTGTTACTCTGAATGTTATTCTCAATTGCCCCTTCTGGAGGCTTGGTCCTTGCGGCCCCCAAGTGTTGCTGAAACGGTCTTCCATCAGGACAGGAGCACCCCGTCCTCTGGTAGGCAGGAAGCTTTTCCCTGTCCAGGAGGACTCCGGGCCAGCCACCTGGCCTGGCAGGGGCTCCGGCAGTGCCTGTTCAGTGCCCGGGTCTGAGCCAACAGCAAGGCCTCCCTGAACTCACACGCTGTCCCCAAGGAGGGGACTCCTGGACTTGCTGTTCACCTAGGCAGAGAGCCAGGGTCCAGGCTTCTTGGTGGAGCCCAGCCTGAGCTCAGCCCAGTGCTCTCTCTCTTCCTGAAAACTCTCCCTCCCTGCCTCTCCTCCTCCAAGTGTCTCAGTCTGACTCAACCTTTTCCTTCATGTTTCCTGCGACTCACCTTCCTCCTCCCAGGAACACCGTGTCTCAGGCATAGGTGAGCCTGTCCTGCGCTCGTCCTCTGACCCTCCTGTTAACTCTCGCTCTCTCAAGCCGGAAGAGCCCACAGCCAGCCCATCGCCTCCTCTGAAAAGGCAGGTAGGGCTCCTTCCAGTGGATGGGGTCTCGGTGAAGCCAGAGGGCACTTTGATTTAGAGGGGTGGGCTCAGTTGGCCCTCTGCACCCCCCAAGTGGGGCTGATTTTAGGTTCTTTGGGAAGGCAGATACAACATGCGGTCCCCACCCTAATAGGTAAGAATAACCTAATATGCAGCCTCTTGAAATACATGTCACTGGGCCTTCAGCCAGCCAGAGGCCTCAGCTGACTGACGTTGTGCTCTTGGTGCTCTGTTTGCTCGGGGAAAGCTGACCCACCCCATGGTCTGAGGGCTGTCTTGTCGGATGCCCGGCACACGCAGCTGTAGCTGCAGTCCACTTACATGGTCTGATCTGGAAGTTGGTGAAAAGGTGGCAGTGAGGTGCAATGGGCTTAGGTGGCCGGCTGGCGGCGCACATTGAAGGGACTGGGCTGGGCTGGGTGCAGGCTCCCCAGTGCCGGAGCAGACAGGGACCTGCTGGGAGCCCAGGGCGGCGGCAGGCAGCCGTGGACTGTGGCCTCTCCTGCTGGCGTCTCTGGGTTCGGGATTTGAACGGAATCACTGCTGCTGACCACAGCCTTCAAAGATGTCTGGGCAGCGTGAGAAATGTGCTGTCGCTTCCGGGCAGTGGAGGCTGAGGGGTCAATGTGGGCATAAAGCAGGGATTTTGTCTGAGTGTATATGAGTTACCTGAAGGGCAATTTATTTTTTCCATTAAAAAATGGGTACAGCCCTGGCTGGTTTGGCTCAGCAGTTAGAGCGTCAGCCCACAGACCAGAGAGACCCGGGTTCAGTTCCCGCTAAGGGCACGTACCTCGGTTGCAATTTGTCCCCGGCCCTGGTTGGGGTCATGTGGGTGGCAACCAATCGATGTGTCTCTCTCACATCGATGTTTCTTTCTCTCTCCCCCCCTCCCTCCCTCCGGCTCTATCTGGAATGTAAATATGTCCTCAGGGGAGGATTTAAAAAAATGGGTACATTAAAAAAAAAAAAATACACCAATATCTAGAGCCCATCTCAAGACCACTTAAGTGAGTGTCTCTGGAAGTGAGGCCCAGTCTTGGGTTGCATATTCAAGTGCCCTAGGTGATTTCAGTGTGTGTGTGTCCAGGATTGAGAACCAAGGTTGTACAGGTTTTGATTCAGTGGGTGTGGAGGGAAGCCCAACACCGATGTTAAGGAGGGTGTGAGATTTATATAATGTTATTAACCAATGTGACTGTAATAGACTTAACAAAAAAAGAAAATGTAAAAATAATTCAATAAAAGGAGATACCAGGAGATTCTGATGCAGGTGGTAGAATATCAACACCTGAGGTTAGTTTGGAATCTCTCAAGGTGCACCTGGTGTGTCCTTGGTCCCTGGGCGTGTGGGGAGTCCTCGTTGTTGGGGGCTATGAAAGGGCCACAGTAGGGAAGGAAGCTTGATTTCCCTTCTCTCCAGTTCTCCTCGGTCGTTGTGACGGGGCATGTGCTCCGAGAGATAAACCAAGTGTCTGCTGGTGGAGAGGGCCCGAGCCGGCCCTGGAGAGCCAGGGCCAAGTCCGACCTGGGCAGGCCCGAGAACCGTGCTGCCCTGCCTCCCGCCTGCCAGGGGGCGCTGGCCCTGTCCGGGGTGCTGCGGCGGCTGCAGCTAGTGGAGGAGAAGATTCTCCAGGTGAAAGCCTGCCCTCTGCCCTGCCTCTGCCCGGGTCTGGGTGCCTTCCGTCCCCTCTTCCCCCACCTGCCCAGGGCGGGTTTCTTCTCTCGCTGTTCCTGCCTGGTGCCCTGTCCTGTGTGTGGTGAGTGAGGCGAGCCTGGCTGACGGCCGTCCACACCCACCATCCCGGCCTCGCTCACTGTCTCCTTTCTGTCTCCTTTCTCGCCTCTGCTGCAGAAGAGGGCTCAGAACTTGGCCAACAGGGAATTTCACAAAAAGAACATTAAGGAGAAGGCGGCTCACCTTGCCTCCATGTTTGGACACGGGGATTTCCCGCAGGTAAACGGGCTTTCAGAGCCCCAGGAGCCCAGGCATTGAACATCCAGGGAGGTGGCTGTGAGTCCGTCTCTGGAGCTCCATTTCCTCCCTCCTCCTGCTTTTATAGCATGAGGCACGGTTCATTGTTCAAGCTGCTAAAGAATTCAAGGTGCTATCCAAAAAAGATGCAAATGAGACTATTCAAAATAAGTAGATAAGTCAGGACAAAGGGAAAACCAAGGCAGAAAAGTGAGCTCAGATCAGAGGCAGACTTGACTGAACAGAAACGTGGGCTGTTAGATCCCAGACAGCTGCTGAATAGGCTCTGAGCTTCCTAAGGGCCAACACAATGAGGGAAAGCTGGCAGGTTGCAAGAATTACATCACAGTGCCTTTAAGGTGAAAGCAAACCAGGTGCTCATGATGTTTTGGGGCAGTATGGAGAAATCTCCTCATGGCCTTGATCAGGGAGACACTGACAATGTCAACCATGTGATGCTTTCCCAAAAGGCTTCATGGAGCCAAGAAGCATGGCTTTGCCTTAGAATACAAAGCACAGCCCCCTGCTAGCCAGGTGCTTATTTAGAAACTTGCTGAAAAGAAGAGCGTGTGCTGGCAAGGAGATGAAAGAACTGATATGAGGTCCCACAGTGTGTGTATGTGTAAGGTGGTCTCTTGCAGCAAACCTGATCTCTAGAACATTCCTCCCCTGATGCTTTCACTCAGTCTCCTCCAGACCTGAGTCCTCTGCTACTCAGCAGAGTCACTGACATGGGAAGGAAGCTTTGCATTTATTTAGATCATTTGTAGGTGCAGGGAGGCTAGCACAGTTGTCTGCAGCTGCAGAGACCCCACAGTCACCCAGGATTCTCCTTTCCTAAGCTTGCACCTGCCACTTTATACCAAGCTCCAGCGTGAGGGCTTCAGGATTGGGCACTGGTGTCTGTGGCAGACATAGGCAGAAACAGGATAGACCTGCTCCAACTGTTACAGTGTGGCAAGGGAGTTGGAATAGTAGCAGAACATGGAGCCAGGAGCCAGGCAGTCCTGCTGCAAAGACAGAGGCCTCTGCTTTGTCCTGAGCTGCAGGCCTGGAAGCCTTTCCCCCTCCTCGGCTATGTAGGCGTGGGCTGCACCCAGGCGAGCACCACTGTGCCTTTCCCGGGGTACTCACAGTGTTCTCTGTTTCTGTTCTGTGCAGAACAAACTACTCTCTAAAGGCCTGTCTCCTACTCATCCTCCGTCCTCTTCCTCCTGCCTTCCATCTCCTGATCCAGCTGCTGCTTCCTCTCCATCGACTGCTGACTCTGTTTCTCCTGCCAGAAAGGTAGTTGTCCTGAACGTTAGCCCCCGACACCCTTTATGCTCCGAGACGTCCCCCTGCCCCGCCTGACTGCACAGGCGGACAGCTGGAGCCGGGTGGGCCGAGATGAAAACCCTAAGATACGTCACAACAGTCCCAGATCAGGTTTTGGTTCTGTGTGGACCCAGCAATGTAGCAGAACAGGCAGCAAAGACATCATCTGACACTTATCCGTCCAGCAAGCATTAGCTGGACACCCACCATATGCCAACCACTGTGCCAGGTGCTGAGGAACGAAGGAGGAGGGTGGTAGGGTTCTCTTACTACCGTGTAGATGGCAAATGGAACATTAGAATAGAAATAACTTTCTACCATGTGACATCTCCGATACTGGGCTGTTTTTGACCTAAAAAAACCCCAGCAGTTTCACATGGTGAACCTAATGCAATACTGTCCATTCATTCTATGAGAGGTGTAAAAGGCAAGGCTGTAGGAACCCAGAGGGGAGAAGCCTGGAAGGAGTCACAGAGGCGGGAACGTGGGGGCTGAGAGAGGAAGGTCATGCGGGAGGATTTACGGGAGACAGGTGGAGGGTGAAGGTACTTTAGAAAGCACCCGGCGTGTGCACAGGAAGGCACACAGGACGTGCATGCACGGAAGGTCAGAATTCTGGTGTGACTGGGACTTGGGGATAGAAGTATTCTTGGGGGTGCAAAGAAGTGAGCCCATTCCTTTCATGTCAAGGATTGTCATCGTATCCTCTCACGGAGAGTCACGGAAGGCTCTTCTCTGTGTTCTAGAAGGATGACTTCGGTAGCAGTGCGGAGGTTGGCTTGGAGGGAGGCAGGGAAGAGGTGGGCACCTAACTCTGTTTATGTTGATAATGAAATGCACCATGAGCAACGATTCCATTTGCGTTCTGGGGCACTTTTCATGTTTTTTCTTGCCCTCCTGTTACCTGATATTTGGAGAACACTGCCAGGCTGGGAGGGAGGGGCAGCCTCTGAAGAAGCTTGGCCCCTGGAGTGGAGGAGCCTGGAAATGGACGTGAAGCCCACTTCTCCAGCTGTGGCACAGGGGAGTCTCCTCCCCACAGACTGTGCTCCTCGCAGTCTGTCTAGCTGCCAGCTGGGCAGCTCGGTGGGCAGTGCTGAGGGCTCCCCGGCAGAGTTACTGCTCATCGGCTTCCAAGCTGCTAAGCTGGTGCACAAACCAGCTCCCTGCTGCCGCACTCGTGGGAAAGGGGGAGTTGCTACCTTGTGTGGAATTGAGGGTTCCAACCCCTTTGACCCCCACCACTCTGGGAAGAGGGGTGAAGGTAGGGTCTCCAAGAAAGGAGCAAGGACTCCTATCAGCCCTGCCTCCTCCAAGTTCTTCAATGTGGTGTGACGCATCCTGGAAGGGCAGCAGGAGCTAGCGTGGAGAACAGCCTTCAGTCAGCGGTTTGACCTCAGCCCCCTGACCTGTCTGGGCCTCCATTCTGTCCTCAACACGAGAAGGATCCCTGGCCCACATGATCGTGAGCTGTACAGGTGGAGACTGGCGTTTCTGCCGTCACCTTCACTGGAAGGCTTCCGAGTAGCCTTCTTGCCCTTCCCTGGGGAGGACTTCCTGCTGAGGAAAAAGGCTATTGTCACCCTGGACAGAGTGATAAAGGTGAGGGCACTTGGGTACAGACAGGCAGTGGCTCATGCCCTAGCTGGGCAGTCTGCCCACACCTTGCTTGTCTCTGGCCCAGCCCCTCTTGCACCTGCTTTTCTTCTGACCTCAGGATGCCCTGGTCAGGGCCCTGTCAGGGTCGAGGGCAGAGCCGTCACACACGTCTACCAGCCACACTTCCCAACACTCCCTGACGTGGTTTCCAGTAGGTGTTCTTCCTCTAGGAGGCAGCCAAAGGCAGCCTGCCTACGTGCACGTGGGCCCCGGCGGGGGGGGTGGGGGGGGGCACACTTCCTGTGAGTGGCGTACCTCTTGTCACAGCCTCGTGGCGTCACCCCAGGAGGTCCAGGCTGCTGCTTCTCCAATGGGCTCTTCCAGCAGCTCTAAACCACTGGCACGCAGTAAGCCAACGAGTGAAGGTTCATTCATTTGGCACATCAGTTGAATGACAGCTTGGTGTCAGGCATTTTGGGCATCAGTGAGCAGGAGTTATGTTCTGCCCTGATGAGGCCTCCTCGCAGGGGGAAATAGCCAACAATAATATGATATAGAAGCCAGTTATGTGGTATGTCAGAAGACACGATGATACTTCCTGTGGAAAGTGAGCCGGAAGCCGTTTCAGTGGGTGACGGGAGGTTCTTCCTGGGAAAGTGCTAAGTGAGCAGGAGCCTCCAAGGAGGAAGCGAAGACCCAGGCAGGAGACTGGGGGCGGGGCTCCGACCCTAGCCCGCTGTTCTCTCCTCTGGGCCACGGAGGCCAGGCGTGGATGGAGGCCTCCTCCGAAGGAGCAGCCAGAGGCTGTGTCCACGGAGCCCCGCAGGGAAGGCTGCACCGAGGGTGGACTTCGGGATGGCCAACCCCAGGTGCCCTGGCCACCTCCTCTACAGCTTTGTTTCTTATTTCTCCCAGGTGCGCTTGAACAGTGGCCCCTGTTTTTTCTTATCCCATCTCCTAAGCCAACCTTGGCCATCAAACGATGGTGTGATAGGACCACTTCAATAGCTTCCACCTGCTGTGCCTTTCACCGTGCGGCTGGGAATGATCCGGGGGCTCTTAGAAAGGGCCGCCTGGGACCCTGGGCAAGTCACTTACCCTCTCTGTGCTTTAGTTCCCCCATTTGTGAAGAGGGCCCAGGTCGGGCCTGACACCCACAGGCCCCTCCAGAGCCCCCCGGGAAGCCACTGCAGGCGCTCAGGGACGGAGTAGCGAGTTTCTGAGGGGATATCGCCAACAGCACTGCCACCCCTCCCCCCTCCCTGACCACCCCTCAGCTTTCACTCAGCCTGGGCTGTGCACCTGCAGAATCTGGCAGAGTGGTCTCCTCGAGAGGAGAATCGGCTGCCCCTTGAAGTAGGTGACAACCTGGGGACAAACAACCTCATTCAGTTGGTGGAGCTCAGGAAGCCTCCTTCCTGGAGGGAGCCGGGGGCCTGATGCTTCTTCCAGCAGATTAGGGGCTGCTCCCATTGCCCGTGACCCACGTTTGCCTCCACTCGGGAGCCTGAGAGGGTGCACTTGAACTGAGGCTACGTCCTTGGCAGGTAGCGTGTCGCTGCTTCTGCGCTAGAGACCCACGCTGCTATTCTGAGGACCCAGGGACAATCACCTCCTCGTGGGAACAGGCTTAGCAGACCTGCCAGGAGGAGCACATGTTACTTATGGGGACAAAAACCTGGGCCACCGACTCTACCTTCAGACTACACTTGCCTCCTCTCAGACTGAAGCTCTGCCTTAAATTTCAGGGTGATCCTGATGTTGTTTGTTTGTTTGTTTGTTTTTGTTTTTGGCCTGAACAGTTACAGAGAATCTTGAGGTCTTCTCATTGAGGGCCCAGATTCTTACCCCAGAGTCGTCTTTCAAGACCTTAGACTATGGGATCATGTCCAGTCTTATGTCCTCAGCACCACTGGACTCATTTATCCCATCAAACCAGCCACCTGCAGTGGTATCAGCCCCCTCTCATCCATTAGGTAACTTCCTTATTTAAGAAGGAAGGCCACTGTCCAGGCCAGTGTGACCCAGTTGGTGGGGCGTCGTCCCGGGCCAGCGCGATCCCCGGTCAGGGCATGTGCCCGGGTTGCGGGCTCCGTCCCCGTAGGGGGGCATGCAGGAGGCAGCTGATCAACGTTGAACTCTCACATTGATGTTTCACTCTCTCCCTTTCTCTCTTCCTAAACATCTATAAACTGTTCTTACAAGGAAGAAGGGAGGCCGCTGTCACGTGGCCTCTGCCATGGCTGTGAGCTGCGCCAGGGCTGGTGAGCTCTGTGGGAGCAAGATGCTGGCTGGGGGTCTGCACAGCTGAGCGGGAGGATGGCCTCATGGCTGGGGCCTGGGGCCGGCTCAGCCCTCCCGGTCAGGGAGCAGTGTGCACTGCAGAAGGAGCTTGCTCTGTCCTTGCCGGTGTTTGTTTTAAAACTAGATTCGCAGGGTTTGCTGTAGGGATTTGCATGTTAGCGGGAAGTGGGCAGTCTTAGTGGGCGTCTGCCTTTGTTCCATCTGATACAGGCTGGCTGCCTCCAACCTTATCGTCCTCTCTGCCCAGGGAGGAAGGTCAGCGGCTCTTTGGACGAGTCCTCTGAGCATTCTAGCCCGCGGATGCTCGTGTGCTGAGTGCCGGTGTGTCTCAGGGAGGCAGGGAGCTGGACTCACACTTGGAGTCAGAGCACCAGTTACCGTGTGACCTTGGGCGAGTGGGTGGTCCTCTCAGCACCTTCGTTGCCTAACCTGTAGTGTGGAGACGACAGCGGCTGCTCCTGAGTGTGACTGGAATAACCCAGTGACCGAGCCTGTGTCGAAAATGCCTGATGTGCCCAGTAAATGTGCTCTTTCCCCAGTGGAGGAGACTTCTAGAAGAAAGCTTGTTTACCTAGCTTGAGTCTCTCTTTCTCAGGGCAAAGAAGTCACCTTCAACTCTCCATTCCTGTCCTAGTCACCTGGGAACAGTGTGGCCACGGGGAGCTAGGGACTCCAGGAACCCCAGCCACGCCCGCTGTGAAGGGAGGTTATGAGACCCGCCTCACAGGCCAGAGGGTGGGATGCAGATGAGGAACAGCACGGTGCCTGCAGCAGGGGACACAGGCACAGATACGGGCTCCCACGGAGGGGGCGGTGCCACAGCCCCAAAGGCCTGCCCGTGCCCCAGCTCTGAGCAGTAATGTCCAGACCCCTTCAAACAAGGGGGCTTCAATCCTCACCCTCCCTTTCCCTGAGCCTGGGCATTTGGCTGAGGACTCAGGTCTACCAGCCTGTTCTCTGATGTTTCTCAGGCAGGACCCCTTGGTGACGAGTGTCCTTGCCCCAGCAGGCTCAGGAGATGGCCTCTGGCCCTGCCTGTGGAAACCCCCTTCTTGTGAGCCCCCAGCTCTGAGGCCCAGATGCTTAACTCTCACGCCGCCTGACCGTGTGGGCTTTATGATGCTCACCGCAGGCCGGGTGGCCCCAGGTGGCCCCAGGTAGCCCAGCTCTGCAGAGAAGCACAGCCTGGCCACCTCGTACTCTTGGCTGAGTTCCAGGTTCAAGGGGGGATGTTGGCATTGACTAGACCCCAAAGGGCCCAGGATCCTGCGTCCTCCTTCCTCAGAGCATCTGCCCTGTGCCGGGGGTAGAGGTGAGCATCTGCCCTGCGCCGGGGGTAGAGGTGAGCATCTGCCCTGTGCCGGGGGTAGAGGTGAATAAGACAGGGTCGTGACATCAGGAAACACAAACCAGAGGGGAGAGGGGCTGGCTCAGAGCAGGGGAAGAAAGGCTCCGACAGAGACCGTCACATTCCGAGCTGGCAGTGATAGGGTTGCCGTGGGAAAGTCTTTCTGTGGGGGTCCAGCCACCTTCTACCGCCTCTGGCGGCGGTGCTCGGGACAGGAGTTATATCACCGAGTTAGAAGGTGGGTCGAGAAAAGCCAGCACCTCACCCTCGGTGGGCCCCCCTGTTCTTACCTGTGCAGAGGAGGAAACCCAAGCAACCAGGCCTTCTCCCGGCGAAGGCCGTCCAAGGAGGGAAACGTCCCAGAACGTGGACCCGTGAAGCTGCCTCAGCGCGGTGCCCCGGACTCCTTAGCTCTGCGCCACGCGCTCCCGGGAGCCCGAGCCGCGCGGCACAGCCCACATTCGTTGTTACCCTCTTGCAGCCCTGCAGGAGGTGGCGGTCGCCCGGTGTATAGAGGAGGAGGCTGAGGCCCGGAGGGAACTGGCGTGTGAGGGTCATCTAATAGAACGTGAGGTGATGGACCGGACTTGTTTAACCATGCCAGCATGCTCTCATCCGCTGAAAAACTCATTAGAATTTACAATGGAATAAAGGATGAGAAATAGCCCAGTTCCTTAATTTTACAAGAATATTGAAAGATACATGCTGTGCCCTGGCCAGTTTGGCTCAGCGGTTAGAGCGTCAGCCTGTGGACCAGAGAGTCCTGGGTTCAGTTCCCGCTAAGGGCACGTACCTCGGTTGCAGTTTGTCCCCAGCCCTGGTTGGGGTTTGTGTGGGTGGCAACTGGTCGATGTGTCTCTCTCACATCGATGTTTCTCTCTCTTCCTCCCTCTCTCCCTCCCGCTCTATCTGAAGATAAATGCAAAAATGTCCTCTGGTGAAAATTTAAAAATAAAAAAGGAAAAAAAAGGAAAGATACATGAAGGGTAATGGAAGCCAGTCCCATGTCCTCCAAAATTACCAGTTCTTAAAAAACTGGTGACAGGGACATGATCCTTTTTGGTCAGATCATCAGACTGCCCGAGTTTGTACCTGACAGACTTTCCCAGCCAAACCGTGAGCCCTCCCGAGGTACACGCGTGACTCGCTCTTCTATGTGTGAACCTCCTTTCTGAGAACCTCCAGCTCTGACTCTGAGGTCAGTACCAGGCTGAGTTTTCTGGAAGCTTCCCCATGAGTGGAGCATCTCTTTCTCTCTCTGGACCCCGAGAGCCCGGTGACTTCCCAGTCACTAGACCAGTGCTGCTGAACTGGCCGGCGGGCAGGTCCTGGTGGGGGACCCAGGGAGCACTCGTCACCCGCACAGCAGTGTGACATCGCCACACATCCAAGTGTGTGATCCCTATTCCTCCTAATTCATTTTTATTGTATCCAAATGTATCAGGCCACAAGGGATTAGAGATTTAAAAGGAAAAGCAAAACCTGGCCCTTCACACCGAAAGTTGGAGGAGCCTCGGCTAGCACAGGTCCGGCTGGTCACGTCCGTCCTCTCGTGGAGTCAGGAAGGTGTCCTGCTGTCAGGAAACAGTAACGGGAGCATCCTCTTTCACACTGGTCTTGGGGGTGGGCTTCATGGGCCCCCTCTCACCCTGTCAGACAAGTTCTCCATCACCTGGCCTCCTTGGGACCTCGCCAGGAAGTCCCCGCCCACCTCTTGGTATGGACTGGCAGAGATTCTGGGATGGTTTCCATGAGGCTGGGAAGGGCATGCAGAGACCCACTGCCGTTTTCCTTAGGATGCTTTCAATGCATCCTTCTTGAGAAAGCCGCTGTCACGGAGTGGGCTGTGCATGCACCTGGGAGAATGGAGCCTTTGGGGCCTGTACCACAGGCCAGGTGTGGTCTGCACCCCCGGCCAGGTGACTGGACAGTGCGGGTAGAACAGCCGAGCAGGCTCATGGCTGCACAGACCTGTGTTGGCGACACCCCAGCAACCTCACAGCCCTCCGCCTGCTTCCACGTTCGCTCCCTAAGTCATGGTTGTGTGGAAGCTTGGCCATTCAAAGTGCTGATTAGCTAAGTGATTGATGGGATCTCATTAGGGACTTGTAGCTAAAGCTCCGGAAAGTACAGTCTCAGTGTCTGCTAACTCGGGGAGGCCATCGGTGTACATGGGCATCACAGCATCACTGTCGTGCGTCTGGAGAAGCACCACGGAGCCATCCACACACGGGGCCAGTGGAGGTGGCCACGCGAGCCATGTGGCCAGGGAGGTCAACCTGACCTCTCCTCTCTATGTTGATGTAAACCCAGAAAGTTCTTAGAATGTTACAGCCCGTCTGAGGGCCACTGGGGGACGGAGCCTGGGCGAACAGCGGCACGCTGTCTCAGCTAGTGCACCTGAGCACTTCTTGAAGCAGGAGCCAAGTTTCTTGGCATTTGTGAAATCTTGAAAATTACAGACGGTGTGCTTGAAAGCAGAGTCCTAGTCTCTCCCAGGCTGGGCCAGCTAGGGTGCAGGGAGCTGAGGGAGGGGGAGTACCGGCCGGACAGCTGCCGCCCCTGGGGAGAGGCAGGCTGTGTAAAAAAGTCCGAGGAGGTCCCATCTGTCTGAGACATGGGATCAAGCGCCCGCAGCCACATTCTCTATTCCTGGAACCACAGTTCCCACCACACGTCCGGGAGGCAGGCACAGTTATCCCCATTTTATTAAACTTGAAAACAGCTCAGCAGCAGAGATGCGGGGTCTTCACCTCGCCCACTAAGCAGCAGCTGACAGCCCTCCAAGGGGGAGGGTCTCTGAAGGGAGGTGGCTGCAGTCCAGCTTGTCTGTGAGGTTTTGTTCCTCAGCTCTGTGTCTCCCTGGCTGGGCTTCTGTGCCTCACCGGCTTTTGGAGGCTCTGGTAACACAGGTGCAAACATGCCTTTTGGTGGTGACCAGGCCAAGCAGCCCAAGTAGTCCCAGCCGATGATGATGAGAGGTCGTGGGGAGCCCCTGGGTGGGGGTGGGGTAAAGAGACCGGAGTAGAGTCCTGGATCTCACGTGTATTGCTAAGTGGCCTTGAATGGATCCGTCCTCTCTCTGGCTTCATTCACCCCATCCGAGCACTGAGGAACTCCATGACTTCTGAAGGCTCTGCACCCCCGGTGGGTTAGTTATGTGAGTCACCAGGCTCAACAAGGGTCACAGGGATCCATTTCTGTCCTTCTCCCCATCTCTAGAGTGCCTGCTGCCTGCTCCTGGCTGGTTTTGCCTGTCGCAGGATGTCGGGTGCTGTTTGCATGGGGTGTGGAGCCCTCTCCCACATCCAGCCTGTCCTCGTTGTCCTTCTCGCTCTAACTGGCCTTATCTTTGTCTGTCTTCTCTACCTCTGCTCTTGGGTAGCTGACGGTAGGGAAAGTGTCCAGCGGAATAGGGGCTGCAGCCGAAGTCCTGGTCAATCTGTACATGAATGATCACAGACCCAAGGCCCAGGCTTCCTCTCCAGACCTGGTAAGAATGCACCCCCTGAGCTTTGCCCCTCAGACTCCGGCCCCAGCCTTCCCGGGAGAGCACACAGGACGCAGAGGGAGTGGCCTGGCCCTCTCCCATGGTGCCCCTTCTCCTGGACAAGAGGGGCCAAGAATGGGCTGGATCGGAGCCGAGTTAGAAGGAAGCTGCATTTCCTTGGAGACCGACCTCACCAATGACCTTGGGGGTTGTTTCACAAGGGAGAGCATCGTCCCTGAGTCTGGGAACTCGGTGAGAGGCCAGGCCCTCCCTTACCGTCAATGTTTAGTGTCCAAACTAAGTAGTCCTTTTGCATTAGACTGAGAATTCAGTAATGGAGAAACACCCCTTTTCTTTGGATTCTCCATTTCTCCAGTCGCGGATACTCACTGCCATCACCAGCGATTTGAGTGGACAATTCCTGTGGTTTCCTTTTGGCACATTCCCCGAGAGTCGCCCAGGTGCACCCCTGCCCTCGCCCACCTCCCCCTTCCATGCAGGAGTTTGCCTGACAGGTGGGCTGTGGGACACACCGCTCCCCTTTCAAGTTCTCTTGAATAGTTCCGATGCCGTAGGCTTCCCTGCCTGACATAATGACTGCAGGGGAGCAGGATGTACACAGGATGTGTACACCTGACAGCACTTAACCCCTGGACCGGTTCCTGGAGATGGTGTCACTGGACCGGCATGTCCGTGAGAGATGCCCACTCCGTTAGGCCAGGAGACATCACCCCACCCCGAACCAGGGCAGCCAGGCTCGGGGACAGCCAGCCCCTCCAGGCCCGCCCGGTGGCCACCTGCCTGGGCAGTTTGGGGGCTGTGTTGGGAGCATCTCTTCCCACTCCCACTCGGCTGCAGCACCTGTGGTGTCAGGAGCCATGACGTCCCCACGGTCAGGCGGGAGTTTCTGAAAGCCCGGGCCTCTCACCCAAAGACTCAGTGTAAGTCCTCACCGCCTGCTCTTCTCTCCCGATGCCTGTGCCTCCAGGAGACGATGCGAAAGGTGTACCCCCTGAGCCTCGGCGGCAGCGACACCTGCTACTTCTGCAGGAAGCGTGTGTACGTGATGGAGCGGCTGAGCGCCGAGGGCCACTTCTTCCATCGGGAGTGTTTCCGCTGCAGCGTCTGTGCCACCACCCTGCGCCTGGCCGCCTACGCCTTCGATGGCGACGAAGGTGACTGCCTTCCCCCGGGGATAGCACAGGTCTCTGCCCTGGCTCCTGTCCCTCTGGAGGCTCTGGAACACCCAACAATTCCAGGCAGTACAGTGTCATCAGGGAAGCCGGTCAGGGAGCCTGGCGCTCCTCTGGACAGAGGGAGGACCCTGTGGTGGGCAGGGGCTCCTGAGGGAAGAGGAAGCTGCCAGCCCCTGGTGGGCACTGGCCCTGAGGGGCACCTACTGAGTGCCACATGCTTTGTGTGTGTTTTCTCGGTCAGTCTCACCACCTGCCATCTCCCTGTGTGGTCAAGAAACATGTGCTCGCCCTGGCTGGTTTGGCTCAGCGGTTAGAGCATCAGCCTGCGGTCCACAGAGACCCAGGTTCGGTTCCCGCTAAGGGCATGTACCTTGGCTGCACTTTGTCCCCGGCCCTGGTTGGGTCATGTGGGTGGCGGCCACTCGATGTGTTCCTTTCACATCGATGTTTCTCTCTCTTCTTCTCTCTCCTTCCCGCTCTATCTGAGTGAAAAATGGAAAAATGTCCTCGGGTGAGGATAAAAAAAAAAAGAAACATGTGCTCAGCACCACACTACTTGTGCAGTAAGGATTCTGTAGGTGGCGGCACCTGAATGTTGTTATTTATAAAGTACGTATTAGAAAAATAACCGGAATAGCAGCATCCATTCTGATACGTGGCTCATCCAAGGTCATTGATGAAGGAATTGCACTCATTGGAACGAGGGATTATTTTTTTTTTTTTTTTTTATCCTCACCCGAGGACATTTTTCCATTTTTTGTTCAGGTAGAGTGGGAGGGAGAGAGAGGAACAGAGAGAGAGAGAAACATCGACGTGAAAGGGACACATCGAGTGACTGCCACCCGCACGACCGACCAGGGCCGGGGACAAACTGCAACCGAGGTACGTGCCCTTAGAGGGAACCGAACCCGGGTCTCTCTGGACCGCAGGCCGACGCTCTAACCACTGAGCCAAACCGGCCAGGGCGGAACGAGGGATTATTTTCTGATGTTCAGCCCTTGGTACTGGCCCTGTCAGATATAGCGAGAGGCAATAAGCACAGTGCCCGAGGTTCCGGGCCTTCAAACTCCGGTGCCAGGTTCAAATCTAGGCTGTCGCCCTTACTGGGTGTGTAACCTTGGGCTTGTGCCGTAACCTCCTGGCCCCTCCGTCTCCTCACCTGTAAAATCAGGGTGATAACAGTACTTAGCGTGAGGCTGTTGTGAGGGCTGATGAGTTAGTTCACCAGAGCGGTTAGAAGAGTCAGTGTCTGGTATATTGTGAGTCCTGCAAGAGTTTTTCCTATGTTATCGTTATTCCTGTCACTATTGTCAGTGAAGTAACAGTGAGCAAATAGGCTTTTCTGCAAAGCGCCCAAGGCCCTGGGCAGTGGCCAGTGGCCCCATGTGTGTTTGGCCTGGGCTTTTCCTCCCGATCTCTGTTCCCCTCTGTTTCTGGCCTTCCCCCCGCAGGGGTCCCAGAAAGGAGGAGCAGCTAGAAAGGGTGTTGCTGCTCATTTTGCTGCTTGACAACTGGTCTTGGGAAGAGACTTGGCCTCCGTTTAGTTTGGGGATTTGCTGGGGTCTCAGCCCCTCCCCAGGAGCCCCCTTCTGCAGCCTCGGAGGCAGCTCAGGGTCCTTGGCTCATCTCGGTGCCGCTGGAAGACAGGTGACCGAAACCCTGTCCCGAGTGCGAGCTGACCTGGGTTTGGTTTCACTACTGGTGTTTTCTGACCTAGATAGTGGCGGGAGCTTGTCTCAGGTCTCCTGTGGCTCTGGCTTCCAGGAGAAAAACCTGTGTGTGTGTGTGTGTGTGTCTTTTTACAGGCAAGTTTTTCTGCAAGCCTCATTTCATTCACTGTAAAAGCAACAGCCAGCAGCGAAAGCGACGGGCAGACTTGAAACAACAGAGAGAGGTGCGTCGAGCGGGAAAGTCTGGGGAAGCGGGGAAGGGCTCTGGGCAGGCCTCCACATTAGGACAGCACGTCTGGCCCTGGAAGGACTGAGGGTCACAGATGCAGAAGCGGACTCAACTCCCTGCCCGGGGTCCTTCTGCCTCAGTCTGTTCGGCCGGCCTCTGTGGTGTCCCAGCAGGGGCCAACTCCCAGGGGCGAGGCCGGGCTGGCCCCTCATGAGAAGCTCAGAAGAGCTTTCCCAGGTGCCAGGGATGGGCCGAGATGCTCAGCCATGCAAAAGTTACCGGTTGTCTCCCTGTGGTCCCCTGTGTCCTGTCTGCTGCACCCGACTCCCCCAAATGACCACAGGGCGCTATTTGTAAGGATGCCTGGTGTGGGGCCAACCTTTGCTGAGATTTCCAAGTCCTTTCCCCAGGCCCTTGGATGTCAGCAGTGATGAGCAGCGGGCTTGTCATAGCGCCCCCTCTGGCAGCCCTTAGCAAATACCTCCATGGCTTGATCAATCACCACCGCCAGCCAAGACCCACAACTTACAGCTTTTTTCTGATTACACAGTTAATATAGGCTCAATGTAGAGATATGGATAAATAGATTAAATATATAAAGAAGGAAAGTTAAATTACCTGTCATCACTCTATCCCGAGAAAACCATAATTTTGTAGCAAACATTTTCTTCCAGACTTCTTCCTGTGTGAATGTGTTTTCACCTAGCCAGACGCCTAGTGCTAGTTTTATCTTTCTATTTTTACAACACTCTATCAAGAACAGTTTCCCACGACATTAAAAATTCTTTAGGAGTGTAATTTTTGGTGCCTGTAAAAAATGGTCATTTATTTGTTTATTTGTTGTTGAAAATATTACAGATGTCCCCCTTTTTCCCCCCATTGACCCCCTCTTCCTGCTCTCACCCCACCTCCTAGTGTCCAAAAAGGGTCGGTACAGTAAGTTATTTAACAAGTCCCATATTGCTGAACGTTGATGTTGTTTACTATCTTTACCTTATAAATAGTTTTACAGTGAACATTTTTGTGTGTGCAAATGTATCCATATTTCACGTTCTCCACTTAGGGTAGATCATTAGAGATGGGATTGAAGTCACAGGACGTGTGTTCTAAAGGATTGGGAGCCCTGTGTTCAACCTGCCGCCGGGACAGCCATGCCCGCGCTCAGCCCCCGTTCAGCCTGCACGGGCACTGAGATACTTGGGGGCTGGTTCTGCCAAGTTCAGTTTTCACTGGCTCTGTGCGTCTGCTTTGTCGGAGGGGTCCTCTGTGAGAATCGTGGACTAACTCCCCTCCCTGCGATCTTTCTCAGGAGGAGGGGATGTGGAAGGCGCAGGAAGCCCCTCGGCGAGACCCTCCCGCGGAAAGCTCCTGTGCAGCCGCCGCCCTCGGCTCTCCGGCAGGCAGCCCCCCAGGTATCCCCACTTCCTCCTTTAGGACGGCGCTAAGCTGGCCTCTCAGGCTGCCCTGGGGCCTGCTTCACATTCCCCGGAGCCTGCTTAACTGGATTCGGGGACTCCTGCGCGCCCTCGGCCTGCATCTCAGGGACAATGCTTACAACTACTGCTACACGTATGAGCTCCTGAGCCTCGGGCTGCCCCTCCTGTGGGTGCTCTCCGAGGTCCTGGCTTCCATGTACCGGGAGTCCGAGGAGTCCCTGGAGAGCATCCGAGACTGGGTGCTCAGGTACTTCCCAGGCAAGCTCTACTGACGGGTGCTGCCCAGGGCCTCCGCACGTTCAGTGTAGATGGCACGCGTTGGCAGCGGCCCAGCGGTCTTTAACTCATTAGCTCAAACCAAAGAGTTGGCCCCCTGCACCTGCCTTGTCAGGGTGGCCGTCTGCTCCTAGTGCTGGCGCCAGCACGACATGAAGGATGTTTTTTATAGTTTGTATTTCTTTTATGCCAAAGCGAGCTGTATTTCTAGGTTTACATTTCAATATTTAACTTTTAATAATCTAAGAAAGCATTTTTTTTACCATGTGTGTCGAGTTTCCTAAACACGGGTTTGCCGTTTATACCCCGCATGACAAACCCCTTGTCTGCGTCCCTGCCTTCCACGTTGAGGACGGGCGCTCACGTGACAGAAGTGAGTGCGCCATCTCCTGGCCAGTGCCTTTCTTTACATGCCTGGGTGCCACTTGTCGAGGGGGCGATTGTTGGCAATGTGGGAGCATAATCATTTTAGAAGAACAGAGTAGAATTAAGCATTCAAAGCACATGGCAGTGTGTAGTTAGCTATTAAATGTCCTCTCTCGGGGACTGTTTTGCTCCCTTGTTTTGATGTAAAGTAGTGACTTCAAGTTTCCCCACTCCCCATACCAAATGATAGGCAAATGACACAGAACGGGGGGCATTCGAGCAGATTGCTACAAACAAGCATTTTTCCGCCCCGCTGACGAGCACCGCGGCCGGAGCCCGTTGGCACCCAGCCATGCAGAGCTCCGTCGGGCTGATGCCGCTGCTGAGGGGGAGCTGTGTCAGCCAGCGGCAAGGGCCAGGGGCTCGGGTCCCCAGCCCAGGCTGCAGTCAGGGCCAAGGCCACTCAGGGTCCTTAACAGTCAGGCTGAGGGAAGTCTGTGCTCCCTCATATCATGTCCTTTGAGACTGAGGGCATTTGTTAGCACCTCAGGGTGTTATTTTGGGGAAGCAAGGCCTACCGGTGAGCACTACTTGCGGACATGCTGGCCGCTTAGCCACTCAGTCGCTGTGCATATTTGGTCAGGACAGTCAGAAATCATTTATTTTCACACTGTCCTAGCAAACAAATGTTCAAGACCTCCAGGGGGAAGGTCACCTGTGTCTTGATTGGCAGGGAAGGCTGGGAGTGGAAGCTATTTATTGACCAATACAAAGAAATATGTCCTGTTAGGGGCAAAAACAAGCATTGGCCTACCTGCATCCTTCCTTCTGGGAATCTGGAGGAGGCCTGAGTTCCCCCCACTCCACTCTGCCCAGACACGCACAGCTGCTGCGCTGGCTGAACAATGAGAGGCTGACAGAAAGGTCAGTGTACCTAGAGTTGCTTGGCCGGAGACGGCACTACGCACTTACTGCCCTAGATAGAGATCTCCTCTGCCCCAGCAAGGCTGCAGTCTGGCGTGGGTTTGGAGCCAGAGCTCTTGAGATGACAAGTTTCTATAGGGTGAGAAGAAGGGGAAGGCATTTCTGCAGACACTTCCCTGAAGTCCTCGGGCAAAACAGAGGGATGGGTACCTCTGTCCTTGTGGGAACTGGCCTCAGTCTGATAACTTGCATTGTGTTTTCTCAAAATTGTGTTGGGGTTTCCATGTTCGGCCTGGTGGGAGGAGCCCTTGATTCATTTCATGTTTGATCCCAGAAAGTAAATGCCCCAGGTCATGATGTGAACACAGGCCGTGTCCCTGTTATCCTCCGCTCAGGGCAGGCTGAGATGCTCTGTGGAATGTTCCACGGAGCCACAGTTAGCATCTCGGACAATGTCGTTTATGGACATAAAGAGATTGGTGTGAATTACTCTGGGGAGACAGGGTGTGCCTGTCAGAAGCCTGAGATGTTTGTATGTTCTGAGACTTTGAACCTTCCTGGTGGGCAGCACCAAACACACAGAGGATCCCGGGGAGCAGGGGTGGGGCACTGCTCAGCCTCCACGTTGGATTCAAGAGTGACTGTGAGACACTCGAGTCGAGCGGACACTGGGGGCGGGGTCCCGAGGGCGCATGGAGCTGAGTGGAGGGCCGTGGAGTGTGGCAGATGCAAACCACACACGCCCACTCTGGTAGCTAAGGGGCTGCTCACGACCAGAAAGGTTCATCGGTCTTAAGCAAGCAGTGACTTGTTTGGGGACGTTTACCCCCTTTTAATGATTGCCTTGTTTTCAATTCCCATGTCTTCTCTTGTTGTTGGCCGAGGTCCTTTTTCCTCCCCCAAACTAAATTCTCTTTTCTGTCTCTCTCTTTCCAACCTTACACTGTGGCCATCAGTTCATTTCAGCCTTCCAGTGCTACACCCACTTCTTGGCTGACACACTCTGCTCTGAGGTGACTGGTTTTCTTGCCGATTTTCAGAGATGGGACTAACCCCCGAGCCGCTTTCCGCACCCCCCTCCCCGCCGTGGTATTGGTTGTGCTAACTGTGAGTGTCTTGCGTACTAACAGACTCCTTTGGTGGCGGGGTGGGGGACCAGCGTGGGGTGGTGCTCAGCCGGAAAGCTGTTTCCGATTCCACGTACCTCTGGGCCGGCAGCCAGCCCACAGCAGGTGCATGCCCCCTGCCCCCGCTCCCGTGGCCTGCGCGCATGCTTTTCCAGTTGCACTTGAAGCCGCTTACCTTCTGGGAGGGTTACCGGACTGTGAGGCAGTACCACAGGGGGCTCTGTCCCCTTTGAAAAGAAAGCCTTTTTCTAGGAGCCTCTGAAAAAGCCTATGCATACGAGTGTCTTCGTACATTGGCTCTACTATAAAGATTATTAATGTCATTGATCAAAACCAGAGGCGACTCTTTGGAGGGATTAAAAAAAATACCCCCCAGGCTGCATCACCAGCTCGGTCCATGCTCTGAACTGTGAACATGTCATCACAATTTTCCTAGCAACTCCTTCCCCTGCTGCAGCCTATGCCATAGACCCACAGGTTTCGCCGAGGCTCTTCTTAGTGTTCTCTTGGCTCACGAAGCCTCGGGTGAGGCAGCAGCCTCAACTAGAGCAGTCATGTCACAGGCCAGCAATGGCTTTGGGAATGAGTCAGTTCATCCCCACTCCTGGAGCGGCCAATTTCAATACCCCCATGGCTCTGCTCCAAGCACACCTTCCCTGCTGACTCATTACCTGGAGCAGCAGGATATTCAAAGGGCTTTTAAAGAGAAACACCTCGCCAAGAACAGCGGCACTACCGTAGGCCAGGCCTCACAGTTCAGGCTGCAGTGGGTCTGTCCTGCATGCGGCCCAGAGCCCCGCTGACCTCTGGGCCTGGCTGCACGGCCCCGCATGCTGCATCACTCACCGCATCGGTGCAGATCCTAGCCAGGGCGAAGTCATTGCTCTTGTCTTATCTTCTCTTACAGAGTCTCCCTTCCTTTATAGAATGTCAACCAAAGAGTGCCCTCCTCCCCCTCAGTCTCCTCTTTAGCTAGCCCCCCCCCCATCTCATCGCAATGCATGTTTGTGACCTTTAGCAATCATTTACAGTGCCACATGGAACCCTGTATTTTGCACACAGCAAACAATGTTTAGCTTTATTTATGGTATTTGATGCTGTAAATGAAAATAAATATGGTTCTTTATAAAGCTCATTGTTTCCTCTCTTCTTTGCATTGGAAGCTGCTCAGACCTGAAACCCAGGCGTTAGTTTAGGGGCCAGTCTTCCCTAAACTGCTGGCGGGACCTGCACTCGTGGTGACGTGGGATTCTCTGGGGCTGCGCTGGGCACTCTGAACGTAAATATTACCCGAGGGTAATATTTGGAAAAAGTCCCCAATGCTCCTGGGCCAGGCTTTGGGATCTCTCTCTTGAAAACTCATGGTACTTTCTGCTCTCAATGCTGGGCGTAGCCGGTAGGGTCCGTGTCCCCTCAGCCAGGAGGGGCAGGCTGTCTTCACAGCTGCTGGCACATTGCCGCAGACGCCAGGCCATGGACCTGCAGGAGCGCTTTACTGAGGAGCTGTATACTCATCTAGGTTCCTACATAGCAGAGGTTGCTCTTGGAAGTGTTATGCTGGTTCAGCGGAGTGATGGGTGAAAGGCCAGGAGGAAGCACCGGGCATCGGTTTCCGGACAGCAGTGAACAAGGCAGGTGTGCTCATCCAGACGAAGAGCCTTCTGTGACCCTAGGAGACCTGTCCTGCCCCCAAAGACTCAGTGACTCGGGGTCTTAGGCTGCGAGGCTCTGCTCACAGGGAAATTCCGAGGACAGCTCCGTGACAGGCCCTGGTACCATCTAGGCTGTCCTTAAAGGGAGGGTTTGGAGTCCCACTTGCCTTTGGAAGTCTGGTCCTCAGCGCCCCCTGGGCGGGGATGCCTCCCTTGCCAGGCTGAGTGTAGCTGAGCTGCTGACACTGGCGTTAAAAACTCATCTGTGAACTTCACGAGGGCCCTTTGACCTCCAAAGGGGGGTTTCTGGGGGCCCTGGGCCTCTCAGCCCAGCTGCAGACACCTGCCTTCAGAGCTGCCTGGGGTTATGACCAACGTGAGATCCCCTTTCCTCCCATGAAAGAAAGGTGTTAGGGACTGAAGTCAGGAGCTGGGTTGGGCAAGTCACTCAGTCCTTTATTCATTTATCTGGTCAAGTATTTGTTGACTGCCTAGCATGCTCCAGGCGTCCTCTAGGCCCTAGCAACGTAGCAGCGAACCACACAGAGTCCCAACCTCCCCCGCATCTCGGAACGTATGTGTCTGGTACTGTATACTAGACTTGGTTTGTTTCGTGCATTTTTACATGCAC